CTAAAGAGCCCCGGATCCTCTTCCACACAACCCCAAGCCCCACTGGTGTCTCCCCCCATGGGACCCCCAGTGCCACAGGACACCCCCAAACCCAGCTGCCCCCCCAAAAGACATGACTCCATGGATCCCCTTCTGTGTCACAATCCCCAACCCAAATAAAACCACCAAGCCCAGAGGTGTCACCTCCCCAAGCCCAACCCTCCTCCCCAAAAGACCCCCAACCCTACTGGTGTCCCCCCCTTCCAAGAATCCCATCCCCACAGGGATCCCAAGCCCAAGATCCCCCCAAGCCCAGATTTCTCGCCCAAGATCCCCATCCCCACAGATCCCTCTCCATGTCACAGCCCCCCCAGAAGATCCCAGCCTCAAAGATGTGTTCCCCTCAAAAGGACCCCCAACCCCACTGAACGCCCCTATCCCCACAGGACACGCCCAACATGCCCATCTCCCCCCGGCTCCCCATTCCCGCAGTCCCCTTCCATGTCACCCCCTCCCCAAATCCCGCCCCCCTCACACCCCCGCCCACGTGCTCCCGATCCCGGGGGCGCTGCGGGGCGGCCCCCAGCGACCTACCGCGGACTGAAACCTCGGCTGCTCCTCCTGAGGAGCCCCGACCCGGGCGAGGAGGAAGAGGAAGAAGATGGTGGGGGGGGGCGCCGCCATATGAAGGAAGAACACACACAAACCAAACATTACCCCATTCCCAGAGCTCCTAATGTGGGGAAGAGCCACGGGGGGTTATCCAAGGGATTGTCCCGGGGTTGGGGGCCCAACTCACGTCGCTCTCCACCTCGATGTCATCGTTGTCGCTCATCGCTCCCGCCCGGGTGAAGCCGCGGGCCGGGCCGCGCCGCCACAACAACAGCCCGCACCGCGCATGCGCGGAAGTCGGGCGGGGGTCAATGATGGCGCCGGGCGACGCGAACGGTCGCGGGAGTTGTGGTTTGAGCGGGGAGATGGAGGCATCTTCCACGTGGCGGAGACTACAGCTCCCGGCGTACATCGCGCGGGGCAGCGCGTGGCACGCCGGGAGTTGTAGTCTCCGCTTCGGGAAGCGGACGCTGAGGGTGCGCGGCCGGAGGATGGAGGAGGTGAGGGCCAAGGCCATTGAGGGAGGGGGTTTATTGAAGGAAAATGGGGATGGGGTAGGTCAGGAAGTCTGCGGGGCCGGTCTGGGGGGCTGCAGACTGAGCTAGAAGGGCTCTGGGACAACCTAAAGGGGGCTGCAGGGTCTGCCTGGGGCGCGTGTGGGTCTGGTCTGAAGGGCTGGGCCGGTGTGGGAGGGTGTCCATCTGCCTGGGGGCTCCAGGGTAGCCCTGCGAGGTCTGGGGTTTGGATGCGGCTAATACGGGAGGGCTGGGGGTCTGCCTGGGGTCTGCAGGATATTGTGGGGGGCTGCAAGCCTTGCTAGAGGGTATGTGCATCTGCTCAGTAGTCTGTGGGCCTCACCTGGCGGGGCTTTGGCCAAATTTGGGAGGGCTGTGGATCTGCCTGGGGGGCGTGAGGGGCTGTGGATTTGGGTGTGGGGGCTCTGGGGCTGGAATGGGGGCCTGCAGGTTTCACCTGAGCAACTACATCATAATTTGGGGGGCTAAGGGCCTGCCTGGCCCACACAATTTGGGGGTCTCTGTACCACAATTTGGGGGCTTTAGATCAATCTGGAGCCTGTGGACCTGACCTAGGGGGTCCATGGGCCAGCCTGGGTGTCTGTCAGCCAGTGTGAGGGGATCTGGGCTGCTGGGGGCTTTAGGCTTAGCTCAGGGGGTTGCAAGCCTGGCCTGAGGGGGTTTGCAGAATTTTGGGCCCACCTGGGGGGAGCTGTGGAACCCCCTCAGGTACCAGGAGCAGGATGGGGCCCAGGACAGGCTGTCCCTATCCCAGCTGTTCCCCATCCTCTTTTGGCAGCTCGTTCTCCCTGGTGGCCTCAGTTGGGTGCCTGTCATCATCCTCTTTGTCCCCGTCACCGTCAGAGCCAGTCTCATCCGAGTTGTCCTCCAGGTAGCGGTATCCACGTGTTTTGTGGCGTGGGCGTGGGATGCGGGGCAGCCGGACTTCCATGTTCCACGCCACCTTCTGCTCCATCCACAGGTATGTCCCCACCGCCACCACCAACGTCAGCAGCATGATGGACAGCTTGGCCTGCGGCCCATGGAGTTTTGGGATTGGCGTGGGGGTGTGTCCCCAAAAAGCCTGGAATGTCTCAGAGTGGGCTGGGGCATATCTGGGACTTACCTTCATGGGCAGCCCTGACCACAGGTAGACAGTGAAGATGGCCAGGGCCTGCCACCAGTGGTAGATGGTGAAGATGAAGTCTTGGCGCTCCTTTTTCTTGTACAACATCCCCAGGAGGACTGTGGCAGAGACTGGAATCAGTGTCCCCTTCCTGTGCCGTGTCCCCTTGGCATGGGGGACAAACACAGTGAGTCTGTCCTATGGATCTGAGGACTGAGACCACAAACTCGTGGTGCCAGGGGACATGAGGAGAGGATGTGTGGAAAAACCTGGGACAACCCAGGCTATTTTGGGGACCACCAAGGCATTTTGGCAACAACAGAAGCTGTTTCAGGACCTTCCCACTACTCACTGCTGATTCCAGTCTTGTTGAGGGCACTGCCTGTGCCCCAGAGCGCGGCAATGCTGTAGAGCAGCGGCGCCTGCGCCAGGTACCGGGGCTCCGGCGCCCAGCAGAAGAGCGTCACCAGGAGCACAGCGTGGATGAAGGCTCCAGCCAGGAGCGGGATGCGCCGGCGCAGGCGCAGCATGCACAGGGCCAGGCTGGAGCACACCGAGGCGGAGAAGCCGTAGGCCATGAGGAGATACGCCAACCTCTCCAGCCCGAGGGCGCACACGCCGTAGTTCTGCAGCGAGCACAGGCTCAGCATCGCCTGTCCCCGCTCCGTCACCTCCCACCCCATCACGCGTCCTACCAGGGAAAATCCAGTGCAGACAAAGAGCACCTCGAAGCCGCTGTAGATGAACAGCGGGAAGAGGTGCCGCAGCCGATAGTCCCGCATGTGCTTGAAGGGCAGCTGGAAGATGTTGCCCCAGCCGATGCTGCGCATGTCGATCTCCTCCATGGGCCGGTACGCCGCGCCGCACAGCACCAGCACCTGCGGAGCGCCGTCAGGTGAGGTCCTGCCATCGTCCAGCCCATCCCTGTCCCCTCCCGCCCCGGCGCTCACCACCAGCATGGCGAGGAAGGCGGCGGCCATCAACGCGCTCTCCACGATGATGAGGCTGACGCTGCGGGGAAGGCTCTGCAGCACCGTCTTGTTGAAACCAGGCAGCGTGCCGTGGCTCAGGGTCCCTGCCAGAGGGGCACAGGCCGTGCTTAATCCCAACCAGGGGGCTCCCGGTGCTGCCCTGCGCCCCGCCCCGCAGCCTCACCGCAGTGCTTCACTGCAAAGAGCGTGTGGTTGAGTTGGTAGAGGTAGTTGTTGAGGAAGAAGACCATGGGCATCTGAGCGCAGACGAAGCTCAACTAAAGGATGTAGAGGAGGGCACGCTCAGTGCTGCTGGCGTGGTGCCCCGCCCATCCCAGCCACCCCACCAGGGCTCACATGGAAGCAGGAGTAGAAGATGGTCTGGAAGATGATGATGTAGGTGTTGCAGGCGTCCCGTGGCGCCCGCTGCCTCTCCCTCTCCTGCTCCTCCTTGTAGTTAATGTACTCGTAGTACTTCTGGGCCATCCTGCGTGGAGCAGTGGGTCAGCTGGCACCCCGTGCACGCCCCACCCACGCCCCGATGCCTACCGCATGATGTAGGTGCCCATGGAGGCCCAGAGGGGCACGATCACCATGCCAATGGCCACCGCGGAGGGCACCAGCGTGTAGTAGCGCTCCCAGTAGTTGCTGGAGACGAAGAGGGCGTAGATGCCGACCGCCAGGAACATGGCCCACTTGGTGCCAAAGAACCTGCCGGGGCAAGGAGCGGAAGGGTGGGTGGCCATGCCAGGGAGCCGTGCTGGCCGGGGCATGGCGGGGCCGTACCTGATGAGGATGGGTGTGTAGAGCAGCGCCGCCACGGGTGTGACATTGATGCCCATCAGCACCTTGCGGTCGATGTCCTCCAACCGGATGTTGCTGTACTTCACCTCCCGGTAGGTCTCATCATAGTGAAGGATCAGCTGCATCTGCAGCAGACCTGGGGGGGTCCAGGGGTGGTCACCCCATGGCCTGAACACCCTGAGTTATTCTGGGGGTCCCTGGGGGGTCCCATACCCAAGTAGACGCTGTAAGTGAGGGTGCCAGCCAGGCTGGCAGCCACCACGTTCTTGATGACACCAAGGCGCTTGCGGCGAAAGTACTTCTGCTCCTCCTCCTCCTCATTGTAGTCAGGGTTAGCACCCACAAAATCATCCAGCTGTGGGTGATTCCAGCTGTCACCCCTTGGGGATGGCCACCACGGGCCTGCTTCCCCCCCACCAGGTGTCCCCCTGGTCTCACCTGTGAATCTGTCCCCTCGGTGCCCAGCATGGCACTTGGCACTGTCTTGGCCACATCCTGGCAGCCGTCAATGTCCTTCTCCATTGGTGCTTCTGGAGGGCCCTGGATGGTGTCAGGGTGGGAGGGACCATGTTGGCACCTCAAGTCTTGCACCCATATGTTTTGTATCCCTGTGACCTGCACACACAGACCTCATGCCCAGCACGCCCAGCCCTTGCACCGCTACATCCAGCACCGTGTTCCCATGTACACGGCATCCCCAAGCCCTGAACCTCTGTGCTCTGCACTCCCAGATCATGCACTCGTGGTTGCACCCCTGTGTTCTGCACCCCTGCACCTTCAGATCCTGCACCCCTGAATCCCGTGCCCCCTACCCAGAAGTGCACCTCCGGGCTCAGCACCCCAGCCTCCTCACAGCCCCTCCGCCCCGTCACACCGACCCCAGCCCTGCTTGCCCGTGCTGGAGCTTCTCGGGGCGGGGCGGGAGCTTCTTCCTCTTTCGGTTAGCACGGGCGGGACGGAGGTGGTTAAAGGGGCCGTTCCCGGACCCCCCCGCCCCGCTCCCAGACCCCCCGATCCCTGCCCACACCCCAACCCGCACAGCACCCTGACCCCCCCCCGCACAGCACCCACTGCTCCCCCATCGCACGGCACCCCAGCCCTAGTCCCCTCTGCTTCCCTGTGACCCCCCCAGCCTCCCCAGAGCTCCCACCAGGCCTCGGCGTGGGTGCTGCCTCCTCGGGGTGCCCCGTGGCAATGGGTACTGCGCCCTGCTGCTTTCGCTTCCCCCTTCCCGCTCCGGGGGATGTGCCAGAGTGCCTGGGCGGGGGGACATCCCAATCGGGAGGTGTAGGGCACGTGCCTGCCCTGGTGTCACCCCAAAGCTGGGGCCGGGAAGGTGTCCGGGTGCGTGGCACGGTGGGGTGCCCCGGGGCAGGGCGAGGGGACTGCTGGGCAGGGCGGACGGGGTGACATCTCCAGGGCAGGATCTGGCCCAGCCGGTAGCGGGGGATTCTTGAGATGGGACTCTTGGGAGGGTGCTGCCTTCTGCAGGATAGGGGGGATACACATGGAACAGCCCCAGGAGGGTCATGCAGTGGGGCAGGGGCAACACCCATCCTGAGGGTCCCCCACATCCCAGGCAATGGGAGCCACCCTGGGGTGCTGGAGCAAAGGGCCTTTCCTGGGAGCAGGATGAGTGGAGTCTATTGATCATGGAACCCTTGGGAAACAGGATGAGGGTTGTTGGTGGGATCCCTATGGGTTAGGGTAGTCATGGTAGCAGCATGGTGGGTGTCTATTGATCATGGAACCCTTGGGAAATGGGATGAGGGGTGTCTGTGGGAACCCCATGGATCAGGGTGGTAGTCACAGGAGCAGGATGAAGGGTGTCTGTGAGGTCCAAATGGGTCAAGGTTCATGGTGGTGGTGTGGTGGCCATGGGAGTTCCACCATCCCAAAGGGGAGGTCCCATTCCATCCTATCCCATTCCATCCTATCCTATCCCAGACCTTGTCCCCACTGCCAGCCCCATGGAGGCGGGGCCCAGTCCTTCCCGCCCCTGGCCATGGGGCCCGGCCCCACAGCATTTAGGGACCCCCACCCCAAGCCTCAGCAGTGCCTGCCTGGCCTCGCGCTCCTCCAGCTTCCACACAAGCTCCCAGGTAAGCACTGCGGGGTCCCCAAAACTGGCAGTCCCTGCATGGCGCCCCTCTGACACCCCCCCCATGCTGGTGGGGGCTGTGGGGCACAGGGGGTGTTCCCTCAAGGAAGGGTGGGTGTCTGGGCATAGGGAGGGAGAGGGTGACAGATGGGGGACTGCAGCTCTGTCCCCCGGGTTTGGGGGTGTCTTGTCCCTGAGGTCCCCATAGGTGACCCTAAATCGGCAGGGCAGCCTGGGCAGGTCAGTGTCCAGAGGATGGTGATTATCCCGGGAATCCCAGGCATCTCCCAGGGCCTCCGGCAGCTGCCCTGGGCTGAGTCACCCCACATCCAGGACGGCCCCGAGCACCAAGTCACCCTTCAAAGGTGCCGCGAGTGACTCCTTGGGATCGAGCCGGCATCTCCAGCACTTCCATCCTGGCATAACCCACGCAGTGTCTCTCCCCAGGGCCACCACGCTCTCCATGGAGACCGGCAGCTCCTTCCAACAGCTTGGCATGCAGCAGGCCCTCGAGCCCCCCAGGCAGCAGCTCCTGGGCTACGGCAAGTGCAGCAGCACAGGCAGCGATCCTGGCAAAGATCCTGGGAAAGCTGCTGGGTGCAGTGGAGGCAGCGGGATCGGGAAGGGGCTGGTGCCCATGGTCTGCAGCACTCCGTGGTGAGAGCAAGGGGCTGGGGCAGGAGGGAGACAGGGAGGTGGGCAGGTGTGGCAGTGCCAGGACAATGGGGACCCCAGGTTGGTGCTGGGGGAAAAGTCTGAGGTCTGTGAGCCACCATGTCCCAGCATAGCCCAAGGGAGAAGACAGGATCTGCAGGGAATGGTGCTGTGTTGGGCTGCTCCCAGCAGCAAGGGAGACAGATGTGTGTGGGCTCCCTGCGCTGTCCCCAGGGAATCTGGAGTCCAGTTTGATGCTGGAATGGGGTAACATGGATCTGGGATGACATGAAGCTCTGGGGAGGTAGAATGGAGCTGGGTCCCCTCTAACAGCCTCGTCCCTGCAGTGGGAACCCCTATGCAGGGCTGGTGAGCCACCTGCGGGCATCCTGGCTCTCTGGGAAGACGCGGCCCATGGAATACCGTGTGGCACAGCTGGAGGCTCTGGGACGCTTCCTGGATGACAAGAAGCAGGAGATCCTGGAAGCCACTGAATTGGATATGGGCAAGGTAAGAGGGGCTGGGAATTGGGGGCCACTGGCATCACATCTTTGAAGTCCTTCATACTCCCTTGTCTGGGTATTACATCCTTGTGGGGGTCTGGGCACAGGGGTGTCCCTTCCTTGGCATCCTGATTCCCCCTTGATGTGCTCCCAGGCTAGTGCATCTGTAAGTGCTGGATCCGTGCAGATCCAGGAATAGTGGAGGGACTGTGCTGTTGATCCCATCCCTGGCTGTTCACCGACAGGCAAAGGCCCTGTCGGTGAACAGCCAGGGTGGGAGTGTTTCACACTCTGGTCTGCATCCTGGGGGTCCATGTGACTTCCACAAGGGTGACATCCTGGGGTGCTCCTGGCCAGCCCGGCACGCCCGGGATTACTGGCATTATGCAACGTGCTGGCACTGCACATTCCTCCCAGGGCCTCCAAGGGACTGGTTTCACTGGCACGGTGGCATGGGCAGGGCTCTGGCTATGGCTCAGGGTATTGTGGCATGCCAGGAGCTCCTGGATGATCTGCTGGTGAAGTGGGAGCATCCGCACTATGAATAATTCTAGTGGTTGCACCTCATCATCTCTAGAAGCGTTCAAGGCCAGGTTGGATGGGGCTTGGAGCAACCTGGGCTAGTGGAAGATGTGTCTGCCCATGATGGGGCGGAATTGGATGAGCTTCAAGGTCTCTTCCAACCCAAACCATTCCAGGATTCCATGAGATAATCCTCACCTCTTTCTTCAGCATCAGTGAAGGGGCCCATGCCCTCAGCGATGTCTTTCCACGTCCTGCTATCTCCCAAGGCTCCTAATTGCCTTGTTTGTTGGAGGCAAGGCCTTCTCCTTCAGCCAGGCCTTGATAGGCATCAGCGCTCTGAGTGTGTCCATCATCTTTCCTAATTATGCCTAATTAGATCCGGTTGTCCAGTAATGAGCTTGTTATGCAGCTGGGCCCTCATAGCTAGATGGACACTTCACCTGCTCTTACGTAGCTGAGGAGGTGTCTCACCTCCAGCGGTGCCGGTTCCTCACTGGTGCCGATGATTGTGGCACTTGGATGACCTCAGACTTAATGTCCTATCTCACAACCTTTGTATCCCATCAAAATTCTTAATGAACCATCATCTTCCTTATCCTGGTGATGCCATAATCATCCTGGGTTGAGAACGGCCCCGTTGCTTCACTCCATTATCTCATGTGCCTGCTGAGCCCTCGCTTCCAAGAGGGTCCTCGCACCTCCTGGCAGCTGCATTTAGGGGACCTGAAGGTCTCTTGGTGGTGGAAGATCCTGGGAATCAGCAACAAGCCTTCCCAACCCCAAAGTGGTGTGGGGATGGGAGGAAGACTCCAATCCAGGGGTGGTTTTGGGTTGGAGGAGTCCAAAATATGATGTTGCAGCACAGGAGCTTTGCTCCCCCTGCTCTCCACAGTCATGAAGGGGCTCCACTGAGCCTGCTGGGCTATCCCTGCTGGAGTCTTCACACTTCTCCTGCAAGGATGATATGATCCCAATCTGTGCTCCACAGCTATCGAGAGGACCCACTTCTCCATCACAAGGGGTTTAATTAAGCTGTGGTTCTTATTACTTCCCTTTAGTCAAGGTTTTAAGACTTTGACTAAACTTAAGACTAAAAGGTGCAGCTTTTGTCCATGGGCAGTGGAAGGGAGCTTGGGGCTTTGTTTCCAGCTTGAATATCCAAGTGGTAAGGATTCCTTCCACCAAGACCAGCTCTTCAGGAGCTGTGGTGACATTGCTTGGGTATCCCTTTGGCTTGGGGCTCTGTTGCCAGTTCACAGTGCTCAGCTCAGGAATTTATTAAATACCATGAAAATACTCGATTTTGGTTTTTTTCCCTTCTGGCCAAGTAACTATTTTTATAAAATTTCTGGGTCACTGATATTCCCCAGGAGTTACAGGTGATGGAAACTTCTGCTGAAGAGATCCTCCTGCTATTCATGTTTGGAAGAGGGGAGAGATGCCTCTTGGGGTGATGGGGTTGGGGTGATGGGGTCTGTGTTAGTGTGTCACTGATGGGATCAGTGTTGTGGTGGCACTTCCATGATGTCTGTCCCCAGCCATCCTTCGAGGCTTTCTTCAGCGAGATCCTCCTCTGCAAGAATGAGCTCAATGTCACCCTCAACAACCTGTCCCACTGGATGAAGGACGAGTATGTGGACAAGAACCTGGTATGAAGGAAGCTCTGGGGAAAGGGAAGTGGGGGAGAGGGATTGCTGGTGGGGAAGGCAGTGCTGAGGTCATGTTCTTCCTCAAAGGTGATGCAGCTGGACTCTGCCTTCATCCGCAAGGACCCTTACGGGGTGGTGCTCATCATAGCACCCTGGAATTACCCCATCCATCTCTTCCTGGTGCCCCTCATTGGGGCCATCGCTGCCGGTGAGCCCAAATTTCCAGTCCCATGGCCTGGAAGTGCCAGGGTCTCCCCAGGGATCTCATCCCCAGAAGTGGGGGCTGTCACCATGTCACTGTGCTGATGTCCTGTTCCTCTTCCCCCAGGGAACTGTGCCATCATCAAACCCTCAGAGATCTCCAAGAACACAGAGAGGCTTGTTGCTGAGACACTGAGCTGTTACCTGGACAATGTGAGAAGCCGTTCTTTCCTTGTCTGTTGTTCCTTGACTATGGTGTTCCCAATCCTGCCTCACACCCACCATCCCCACATATCATCTATGTGCAGAACCCCCTCCCTCTATCTTCAGCCAATGTCCCAGATTCCTGGCATGCTGTTGGTGGGGGCAGATGGTGACACGAGGGGATTTTTTCTCTTTCCTTGCAGGACTGCTTTGCTGTGGTGACTGGCGGCGTGCCGGAGACCACCAGGCTGCTGGAGAACAAGTTTGACTACATCTTCTTCACTGGTATGTCCCATGGGACAGAGCAGAGCCCTGCCTGGATGTGATGGAGGATCTGTTGGAGGATCTGGGATGTGTATCTGAGGTCTGGTGGGATCCAGTGCCAGACCCCAGAGCTGTGCGATGGCTGTGGGATTCCCACCTCAATCCATGTTTTCCCTGCCCGCAGGCAGTCCCCCGGTGGGGCGGATCGTGATGACAGCTGCTGCCAAGCACCTGACACCGCTGACGCTGGAGCTGGGGGGCAAGAACCCCTGCTATGTGTCCGACACCTGCGATGTGACCAACGTGGCGCGGCGCGTGGCCTGGGGCCGCTTCTTCAACGCGGGCCAGACCTGCATCGCGCCCGACTACCTGCTCTGCACCTTGGAGATGCAGGAGAAGCTCATGCCCGCCTTGCGTGAGGCCATCACCGAATATTTTGGCCCCAACCCCCGAGAATCCCCGGATTTTGGCCGCATTGTCAGTGACAAGCATTTCCAGCGCCTGCGGGCGCTGCTGGGCAGCGGGCGCGTGGCCATCGGGGGACAGACGGATGAGGCCGAGCGCTACATCGGTGAGGCTTGGGGGTCACTCGCATCTTGATGAGCACATTGTGGGGTTTTCAGGGGGTCTGCATACAGAGGGGAGGCTCTAGAGGGAAAAGAGTTTTAGGGATCCTTAAAAATGGGTCCTGAGGGGAGGTTTCATCTCCGACCTCTGTGCCCGGCTGACACTGTCGGGTTTCCTCTCCGCAGCTCCCACGGTGCTGGCAGATGTGCTGCCCTCGGACCCTGCCATGCAGGAGGAGGTCTTCGGGCCCATCCTGCCCATCGTCGTCATCGCCAACATGGATGAAGCCATTGACTTCATCAATGCACGGCCGCGGCCATTGGCTGTCTACGCCTTCTCCTGCGACAGCAAGGTGTGTCTGTGGGGCAGAAAAAGTGGGGAGGGAAGTCAGGCACTACCTCCACGAGCCCTCGGATGTGCTCTGAAGGGTCTTTAGAGCCCAAACACTTTGGGAACATCCGATGGGCAAACTGGGTAATGTTTGCCAAGTGCAAGCCCCTCATCTACCTTCTCTCCTCCCCCCCAGATAGTGAACCAGGTCCTGGAGCGGACGAGCAGCGGTGGCTTCTGTGGCAATGATACCCTGATGCACTTTTCAATGACCTCTCTGCCCTTCGGAGGTATTGGTAGGTCCAAAATCCCCATTCCTGGCCATTGGGAGCCAGATGGGATCCGTGGCCTGAGCCATGGTGAGGAATGTGAGTTTCTTCCTGCAGCCAGTGTGGTTCTCAGCTGGATCCCTTAATGTCCCTCAGGAGCCAGGTTGTACCTTCATTCCAACTTTTAGGACAAAATAGTAGGAAAAAATGCTTATGAAAACCTGGAGAACCTCTTACAGGATCTTGGAGATCCTTCTTGGGGAAGAAGAAATATTCGGTCTCCAGAGGCACCAATTTTTGCTTTCTCAGGTGAAAACTGAGGCTGCTTAGCCCTGGGCTGTGGGTGCAGCAAGGTCCAGGGAAACAGGAATACAGGAATGTTGTTTCCCCGAATACTTCCCCATGACTTAATCTCTTCCCAAAATATTTCTGGGATAAGTCCCTTCATTTGGTGCTACCCTTGCTCAGCATCTCTGTCAGGGCTGGCACCTGAGTCAGACATAATGAAACACCCAGACAATTAATTCCTCACCTGCCTGTGGCTCAGGGAACAATTTTTTGTACTTCCTATTCCGTAACTTATCTTAATTGGGAATGATTCAAACCAACCACCTTCAATTATTAGGTAAAGCCCCTTTAGAGCAGGTGAAGGGGCTGAAGTCATTGGGGTGAGATGGCACCAAAGCTTCCACGGAAGTCACTGGCCTCTAAACCTCCAGTTAAACCAGCCACAGGAACTGGGAAAACTGGTGTTGCCAATGTGGCTCCAGGCTTTTAGAGTTCCGGGAAGAAGGTCAAACAGCTCCAACCGTGGGGAGATACGGTGGAGCATCATGGAGTGAAATCAAGACTTGCAGAACCCAGCAAAGCTTGTGTACATAAATGGAGGTGGATAGAAAGGAGATGCTAGGGCCTCCAAACTGCTGAGCTGCAGCAGGATTGGCTGGACTGAGCATCCATATACCTGGAGGAGGCACTGGAAAAATGGAATTCCTCCGCCATGTCTGTGCTGCTCAGAAAATCCTGTAGGTGTCTTTTCCCCTCATTTTGATGCTTGGAAAAGGCATCATCAGGAGCAGAGTCCTGTCCTGAGCATGGACCTGTCCTGTGTATTCCAGGGAACACCGGCCTGGGAAAATACCACGGGAAGTTCACCTTTGACACCTTCTCCCACCACCGGGGCTGCCTGCACCGGAGCATGGGGCTGGAGACGCTCAACACCCCGCGCTACCCGCCCTACACCCAGCAGAAGTTGGGGCTCCTCACGACCACCTTCGAGGTGAAGCGCAGGGGCACCTGCACCCTGCTCTGAGGCTGCCGTGCCCTGCTCTGAAGATGCCACGGAGTCAGTGGGAAGGACTGGGACTGTTCTGCTCTCCCTCTTCATCACGCTCCCCACTTCCTCACCGTGTCCTTTGCCTCGCTGGAGCATGTCAGACAGCCGGGATGAACATCCTCTCCTGCACCCTTGTGGCCTCTGCTCCAAACCGTTTTCCAGGACACAGCTGAAATGACCAAAATATTTTTCTTAGTTCAAACTTTTCTTCCTGGTGGAGAAGCGCTCCCATCAGTCCCATCTCCCCTCACACGGACTTTTCCTTTGGAATGAGCCTCTCCTTCCCCTGTTGCTCTTTGCTCTGTGTAACTCTGCCCGTAGTAAAGACTTTGCATCAAACTCTCTCCCAGCCTCTCTTTGTCCCTCCCTCCTCTGGTTTGGGGGGTGCTGGGAGGGGTTGGGGGGCGTTTCCCAAGAGGTTTTAGCCGGAATGGAGGTGTGGCTGGGCAGGCAGCCAAGGGGAAGGACAGGCAGCGAAAGGGCAGGGCAGGAAGCTGGCAGCCAGCCTGTAGCTAGGAAGAGGGAAGCTGTGGTTGATAACCCCAGTGCAACCATCCCACACTGCACCTGTGGGAGCATGGAGACTGGAACTGTCTTCCCGCAGCTGCCTGAGAGTGAGGCCAAGAGAGCCCCCGAGGGCGATGGTGGGAACGGAAGTGTGGATGGTGATGCCGTGAGGTGAGAGTGTGGAATGACAGAGGGGTGGCAGGAGGGGTCCCGGTGCTCCATCCTCTCCCTGGAGTGGCACTTGGATGCTGGGATGGGGCGATGTGGAGCTCTGAGGAGCTGGAATGGGGCTGGCATCCCTCTAACACCCCTGTCGCCACAGCAGGAACCCCTTTGCAGGGCTGGTGAGCCACCTGCGGGCATCCTGGCTCTCTGGGAAGACGCGGCCCATGGAATACCGTGTGGCACAGCTGGAGGCTCTGGGACGCTTCCTGGATGACAAGAAGCAGGAGATCCTGGAGGCCACTGCCTCTGACTTGGGCAAGGTGAGAGGGGACAGGAACAGGAGGACTTGGTGGCCAGAGGAGCTGAGGGGTTCCCACAGCCCAGCTGGGGGTGCTTTGTCCTCCTCTCATTGGGTTCTCCAGCCCTGCCTGGGCTCTGCCTCGGGCTCGCAGCCTCTGGATTTGGGAGACTGAGATGAAGCATGTTGCTGCCGCTGTAGCCCAAAGTTCATCCCTGCTCTGACATAGACAGAGGGCACTGTGGGGAGCCCCTTGACATGGATAGCCATTCCCACACCCACCAGCCTCAGTTTCCCTCTTCCCTGGGCAAATTAATCCCAGATTTCTGTCCCTGCTCCCTGCCCTGGACTTCCCATCTGATGTCAGTCCCTTTCCTCCCTGAGGCTCACCCAGGCTGTGACTCCCTGAGCCCAAATCCCCTGGCTCTGCAGCCAGAGCCTTAATACCAATCAGGGCTCATTGTCTGCTCTTCTCCAACCTAGTCCCTTTGGACACCCTCCCTATTCTTCCCATTGTCTGGATGAATAGGATCTGCATAATTTTTCCTATTTTCAAGCAATCAATGCTTAAAAACATCATGTTGCAGAGGCAGGAGGTGCTCAATGCCCTTAGGGATTCGAATCGAGCATGGGATGTAGAGGGCACCAGTCCCCAAATCCTGGGCAAAACACTATGGAGCACTGGGATAAGAGCTGCAGGATATGCCAAGGTCACATGTTGCATCCTTGGTGTCTGTAGGCACCCTTTGAAGCCGAATTATCTGAGATCCTCCTGTGCAAGAACGAGCTCCATGAGACCCTGAACAACCTGTCCCACTGGATGAAGGACGAGAAGGTGGACAGGCCTCTGGTGAGAGGGAAGAGGAGAGAGGATGGGAGGCAGAGCTGGGTGGGATGGTGGTGCAGGGTGGGACCTGACGTGGTGGGTGTCCCACAGGCGATGCAGCTGGACTCTGCCTTCATCCGCAAGGACCCTTACGGGGTGGTGCTCATCATAGCACCCTGGAATTACCCCATCCATCTCTTCCTGGTGCCCCTCATTGGGGCCATCGCTGCTGGTGAGCCCAAACTTCCAGTTCCCTGGCCTGGAGGATCCCAGCAGTGCCAAGCACTGGTGAGGGCACTTTGTCCATAGAAGAGCTGGCTGTCACCATGTCACAGCTCCAACATCCTGTCTGTCTTCCCCAGGGAACTGTGTCATTGTCAAACCCTCTGAGGTGTCCATGAAGACAGAAAGACTCGTGGCAGAAGCACTGCCCAGCTATCTGGACAAGGTGGGACACTCTCCCCATCCCTGTGGCATGGCTGGGGCACCCCTACACACACAGAGCTGTGCTCTGAGCCTGCCTCCCACACCATCTCCAGTTCCATGTACTGCCCAACTTCCTTCCTCCATGCCCAGTCAGTGTCCCAGCCTCCCAGGATGCCATTGGTGGGGACAGACAGGGACAAGAGGGGGCCTTTCTCATTTACTTGCAGGACTGCTTTGCTGTGGTGACCGGTGGTGTGCCAGAGACCACCAGGCTGCTGGAGAACAAGTTTGACTACATCTTCTTCACTGGTATGTCCCATGGGACAGAGCAAAGCCCTGCCTGGATTTTGTGTGAGGAGGAAGACGGATTCCCTCCAGACATCCCTGCTAAGAAGGCAGGGATTGGGTTGGAGATGTGTGCCAAGATCTGCTGGAGGATCTGGGATGTGTATTTGAGGTCTGGTGGGACCCAGTGCCAGACTCCAGAGCCGTGGGATGGCTGCTGGGATTCCCACCTCAATCCATGTTTTCCCTGCCCGCAGGCAGTCCCCCGGTGGGGCGGATCGTGATGACAGCTGCTGCCAAGCACCTGACACCGCTGACGCTGGAGCTGGGGGGCAAGAACCCCTGCTATGTGTCCGACACCTGCGATGTGACCAACGTGGCGCGGCGCGTGGCCTGGGGCCGCTTCTTCAACGCGGGCCAGACCTGCATCGCGCCCGACTACCTGCTCTGCACCTTGGAGATGCAGGAGAAACTGCTCCCGGCCCTGCAAAAGGCCATCAGTGATTTCTATGGCCCCAACCCCCGAGAATCCCCGGATTTTGGCCGCATTGTCAGTGGCAGGCAGTTCCAGCGGGTGCAGAGACTGCTGGGCAGCGGGCGCGTGGCCATCGGGGGACAGACGGATGAGGCCGAGCGCTACATCGGTGAGGCTTGGGGGTCACTCACATCTTCATCCTTGCACGGAGCACATTTCAGCTTTGGAGAAGATTAGGAAGGGAACTGGGTGCTTGGCCAGGTGGGCTTTTGTACAGGAGGTGTGTCCTGGGGGGATCACCAAGGTGTCATCTCCCACCTCCGTGCCCGGTTGACACTGTCGGGTTTCCTCTCCGCAGCTCCCACCGTGCTGGCAGATGTGCTGCCCTCGGATCCCGTCATGCAGGAGGAGATCTTCGGGCCCATCCTGCCCATCGTCGTCATTGCCAACGTGGATGAAGCCATTGACTTCATCAACAGCCGGGAGCGGCCATTGGCTGTCTACGCCTTCTCCTCAGATGACAAGGTAGAGCCAAGCCAGGACTACACCTGCCCTGTGCTCCTTGGCAGCTGTATCCAGCCATGTTTGTGCTTCACATGTTTCCCTTACAGCACACAGCCCCAGTCAGGGGGTATGGATTGTCTTTGGAAGTAGTGGAATGGGGTGGGAGACCCATGTCCCATCTTCTTTCTGTCACTCCCAGGTGGTGAACCAGGTCCTGGCGCGGACGAGCAGCGGTGGCTTCTGTGGCAACGACACCCTGATGCATGTGACACTGCCCTCTCTGCCCTTTGGAGGCATTGGTAGGTCCAAAATCCCCACTCATGGCAATTGGGAGCCAGGTGTGATCCCACCCATGGTCAGGAAGGGTCTCAGGAGGAACTCTCAGCTCCAGAGAGCTCAGTAGTCCATAGGGAAATTCTCCTCCAGAAACCCTTTGCTTCACCTTGGGCTCTTGGGCTTTGCTGGACACCTATGGAGCACCCTGAGGTTCTTTCTCTCCATACTCCCTGTCCCAAGCTCTGTGTTTCCTGGATTCATGGAAATGTCTTGCTTACAACAAAGGGAATCAGGGCTTGAAGCAACCTGGTCTACTGGAAAGTGTTCCTGCCCGTGGCAGGGAGTGGAACTGGATAATCTTTAAGGTCCTTTCCACCCCAAACTATTCTGGGATTCCATGATGGAGACATCTGTGTTTCATGAGATGATCTCCACTACCAGCTCCTGTTTTCCACTCCAGTCTTCCACCTTTTTTCCTCTCTTCCCACTCAGCTGGCCAGGAGGCATCAGTGACCTCCCGTTATCCTGTGGCTGCTGTGTGAGGTACTGCAGCCAACGCATCACCCCAGCCACAGTTAGCATTTTATCAGGCAGACTGACTGGCTCAGGCTGACTCATGGCATTTTATCCCATCTGTTACCAAATTATGTGTGGATTTCGTTATTTTTTGCCAGCCTGCCTGGCTTTCCTGTGCTTGTTGCTGGCCAGCCAGCTTCCACCTCCCAACATTCATCCTTGGTGCTGGGGCCCACCTCGCCAAAGGCACCTCGGTCATCGTGCCTCTCCACCCCTGCAGTCTTGCCCTCTTGCAGCAGGGTTGGATCCAGCATGGATGGGATCCAGGATGGATGGGATGTCTTTTGGAGAGTATTCCTGTGGTAGGGAAGCTCATCTGGTGGGAGCATCTTGCTGCTGCCATCACCTCATCAGTGACACCCTTCCAGTTGCTAAACATGTTAATTGAAATGGCAAAATCCACTGATGATGGAGTTTTTGGGAATCTCTCCACCTTCCAGCCTAATCTTCCCACTCCAAACATCCACTTGGGTGTGCACTAGGTCACCTCCGTGGTCCTCTTTGGGTCACATTCCTGGAAGCTCATCCATAGCTGGATGAAGTTGTGGTGCCGCTTTTACAGAGCTGGCAGATGAATTTTGGCTTCTTTGACCCAAAGGGTGGCCAGATGCAGCTGCCCAGCGGGGTGCTGTGCTGTGTATTCCAGGGAACAGCGGCCTGGGAACGCACCACGGGAAGTTCAGCTTTGACACCTTCTCCCACCCGCGGGGGTGCCTGAAGCGCGGGATGGGCCGGGAGCCGCTCAACGCCCCGCGCTACCCCCCGTACAGCCCGGAGAACTTCGGGCTCATCCGGGCCGCCTCCCAGGTGACACGCAGGAACGGCTGTACCCTGCTCTGAGCCTCTCCACGCCCCACTCGGAGCCTGCCCGCTCAGGACATCTCCTGCTGCTGGTCCCGGCGCCCAGGTGCAATGAAAGGTGTTTCTCCACATCCCGTGTGCTTCCCTTTCACCTCCCTTTTGCATCCCTGCTCACCCCCAAAGTCCCTTGTCCCCCACATCTCCCTCCATTCCAGTCCCATATCTTTATTTTCTGGCTGTTTGGGGCTTTATTTCCACTGGTATCACCAGAGCAGAGGGATCTCCTGTTCCCTTCATTGCGTACTCTGCCTTGAGAAGGTGCACAACTCCCTGATCCCAAATCCTTGAGCTGGGATGATCCTGGTTTTTCCTGCTCTATGATCCCAGTTTCCTTTGCCCCATGATATCAGTGTCCTTTGCCCCAAGTTCCCAGTTTCTCCTGATCCATGATCCCAAGTTTCCATTGCCCCATGATCTCAGTGTCCTTTGCCCCATGCTCCCGTTTATCCTGCCCCACGATCCCAGCTTCCTTCACTCCATGGTGTTCCATTTTGGGGGGCTGGTTGTGCCGGTAAAGGGATACCCATTCCTGCTGGGCTGTGGGTTGTCCTGCCTGAATCCCACGGGGATCCCTCCGGGTGGGCGGATGGAGAGAACCGGACGAGGGAGCTGAGATAACGACAGTTTAATAGGGAAGGGGAAACATCCCTGATGCCCGCCTCCAGGGACTGTGCCGGGGCTGAGGGTCGGGGCCAACGCTGAGCCCGCCAGAAGCGGAGCCGGGCTTGGTAGTGAATCCAAGTGTCTGGGCGCTCCAGCTCCGAGACCTTCCGGCACCTGTGGCCCGAGCTGCTCCAGAAACCGGACTGAAAGCTCGGGAAGCCCTGGAAGAGCGGGAAGCTCCGCGCCGGCACCGTAAAGCCGCGCCTCTGCCATGAGCACGCGCTTCCGCCTGCCCTTCGGCCACGCCCCCTCCTCCCGCCCCACCAATCGCCGCGCAGCACGGCCGCGCTCTGCCCAATCAGCGACGCTTCTCCCTCTTTCTTCCCGCCCCTGCCGCCCTTTGCGGGACTCCCACCAATGAGAAGCTCGTCCGCCGTCGCTCGCCCCGCCCACGACGCTCCGCCGCACGCGCATGCGCAGTGCCCGCGGGGGCGACCAGGGGTCAGGACGCCGGAGGGCCCTTGGGGCAGGTGAGGAGGGAAGGGCGGCCCGGGGTGGGCCCAGGGGCGGCCTGGGGCTGTGGTCACCCCCGGTGGCGTGCAGTGGCCGCCCAAATCCCGCTTGGGGCAGAGGGGGCGGCCAGGACACTGCGCTACCCTCCGCCCCCATCCTCTCCGGAGGGACACACGCAGGCTGAGCGGGGAGCGGGGGGGACAGGAAGGATCGGTCCCGCGGGGGGCTCAGGTGGGCGGGGGCCAAGCAAACCTCCTTGGGGGCTTGGGGACGGGGATGGGAGGACACGTGTGTCCCTTGGAGCGGGCAGGACATCAGGGCCCCTGGATCCTTAGGGGTGGGAATGGACGGGACACCTGGGTGGCCCTGGGGGTGGGCGGGGGGCAGCAGGATGGCCGGGTCCCTTGGGAGAACAGCTGGGTCTCTCTTAGGGGGTGGACAAGTTATTTGGGGGGTACACTTGGGTCTCTTAGGAGGGGGCTGCAAGGAGGGGCGGGATGCCTGGGTGCCTTGAGAGGGGTTGGCAGAGGAAACAGGATGCTTAGGTCACTAAGCACTTGGGGTCCCTTGTGGAGTGCTGGGACAGGGGTGCCTGGGGGTCCGGGTCTCTTTGGGTGGAGGGGTGGGGATCAGGGTGCCAGTGTCCCCCATGGGAAGTGGGGGGCCCCTGGCTGCCCCAGTCCCTTACTGGTAGTTGCTGAGGTTCCCTCTGCATCCCAGGACCGGCCATGGCAGCGCTGCGACTGCTGTACCAGGCTGCCCGTGCAGGTGAGGCCGCCCGGGAGCCCCCAAACCTGAACCCCCAAACCCCATTGCGACCCTGCTGACCCTGCTGTCCCTCCCCAGGCCCCCTGGCCCCACTGGGCTCCCTGCGCCCGCTCAGCACCAGCACCCCCAGGGACTGTTACAGTGAGTACAGCCGTGCCACCCCCCGGGGGGCTCAGCTCCCTCCCCAGGGCTCTGCAGGGTGGGCACAGCTCCGCTCTTCCCGCAGAGTACGTCAACATCCAGGAGCCGGCCATGGACATGCGATCCATCACTGACCGCGCCGCCCAGACCCTGCTCTGGACCGAGCTCGTCCGAGGTGAGACCCCGCTCACTCTCCTCGTTTGGGGTGACCTCCCCCTTCACAAATACGTCCTAACCCCTCTGTCTCCCTCGCAGGCCTGGCCATGACCCTGAGCTACCTTTTCCGTGAGCCGGCCACCATCAATTACCCATTTGAGAAGGGCCCGCTGAGCCCGCGGTTCCGCGGGGAGCACGCGCTGCGCCGCTACCCGTCCGGGGAGGAACGCTGCATCGCCTGCAAGCTCTGCGAGGCCGTGTGCCCGGCACAGGTGAGACCTCCTCCCCTTCCCCTCCTCCTCCTCCTCACCCGGGGCTCTGGCCGTGACGGTGTCCCCGCGCCAGGCCATCACCATCGAGGCCGAGCCCCGCGCCGACGGCAGCCGCCGCACCACCCGCTACGACATCGACATGACCAAGTGCATCTACTGCGGGTTCTGCCAGGAGGCCTGTCCCGTGGATGCCATCGTGGAGGTGAGTGGGGCCTGCGGGCGGGACTGCAGGCACTCCCTTTTCCCGCCACGGTGACCCCAAGGGTGACCCCGTCCCACCCTGGCAGGGCCCCAACTTTGAGTTCTCGACGGAGACGCACGAGGAGCTGCTCTACAACAAGGAGAAGCTGCTCAACAACGGCGACAAGTGGGAGGCCGAGATCGCAGCCAACATCCAGGCTGATTACCTGTACCGGTGACGGCCCCCACCCACCCCCCCAAATAAAGTGTTTGGGGGTTCTCCCCCTCTGTTGGCACTTTGGGTGCCAGCCCCTTCCCATAACTCTGTGTCTTTTCCTTTCCACTGCTGGGGTCAGACCCCCTGACCCTTGCGGGGACCCCACCCCTGGGTGTGTGGTTGTGTTTTGGGGAGGGGGATTTGGGTCCTGGGGGTGCTGGCACCAATGCTGGGGTAGGGGGTGGTTTGCTGGGAAAGGTGTGGGAGGTGGAGGGGGGCAGGCAAGGATGGAGGGGCAGTGCTGGGGGGATTTAGGAATCTGGGAGGGTCATTTCCAGTTTCTGAGGGCAGCCAGCATTGGGGGCCTGGTGATCCTGGCAAGGAGGGTTGTCAGTGGTACTGGTGTGAGTGTCCCAGTGATGCCTGTGATCCGGTGGATCCCAGCAGAGGGGCCTGATGGTACCAGTGGGGGAGCCTCCTGTGGTACTGGTATGGGTGTCCCAGTGATGCTGGTGTGTGGGTACCACTTTGGGGTGCCTGGCAAATCTACAGTCTCGCAGTGGTACTGGTGTGGGTGTCCCAGTGATCCCAGCAGGGAAATCCCAGTGCTACCAGTTGTTAGGACTTGTCCCTCGAAGGTGAGAGTAATGCAGGGGCGGAGTAGAGTGAAAGGACTCTTAATGACTGGTGTTTGTAAGCATGTATGTGTAGGGTTTATTTTAGAACAGTTGGCTGGCCATGGAAAGCAGATATGTAGGCGTTCTGGTCATTATCTACAGTAATACAGCTACATGAGAGCATAAAAAATGTTACTTTAAAGAAACGTATAAGGGAGAAGAGAAAAAAGGAACTGAAAGATAAGGGTGAAAACAAATCACCCCTGGCAGATCTTGTGACTTGATTGTTGCAATTTAGTTGTTCCTTGGTCAAAGTGATGGTCTAGATCTGTCAGCAGTGGGGGAAGAAGCCCACAAAACACAAAGTCTGATGGGTTAAAATGAGATCAGGCTCGGGGGCAATGCCCAGATTTCAGTCCTCTGATGAAAGGCCTCAGAAATGATTCTGGGAGCGCTTCGGGAGTCTTTGATGCTCAGTGATCCCTTTTCAGCTGCCTCTCACGGCGGCGCAGTTCAGCCTTCCTTCTTCCGGAGGGGAAGCACTAGAACTGAGCGAGTCGTGCAAGGGAGGGCCAGAGCATGACAAGAACGACGATTGCGCCTTGCAGGATGCAGGCAGTGATAGATCACCCCCTTTGTTTTATGCAGACTGGGCCGTAGCACCCCAAACCTCTTCTCGCCAGGGATGGCAATCTGGCCCCAGCAAATCACCCTGGCTCCTGCACAAATGGGGATTGTTTGGACTAATTACTCACTCACAGCCCGGTTTCACACCGGTGCGGGGGTCCTGCTGATTCTCGCGGGCGGTTTCCCGGCTCCGCCCGGCTGCAGGAAGTGTTTCCCATTTCCATCCTCCTCGGAGGATGCTGCGGGGTTGTCTCCGAAGGGTGCGCTATGTCCCGGGGAACGGGTTTCCAGGGGGGCGGCGGGGCCGGGCCGGCCGGTCCCTCCCCGGGGCCGGGCTCTTCCTGGGGAAGAGGAAGTGCTGGATCCCGGCCGAGCTCGGCGGCGGGCGGGGGGCAGCGCGGCCGGGTGGGTCCGGAGCTGGTCCGGCCCGGGGCGGTCCTGGGGCAGGGAATGCGCTGGCCCTGACTCAGAGGCGGCTGAATGGGGCGGGGAAAGGGGGGTTTCGAAAGTATTTTGCCAGCCCGGTGCTGGGCGCAGCCGCGTGTGACTGAGCGGGCCGGTTTGCCGCGGGGACAGCGCGGGGACAGCCCGGTTCCGTCGCCGCAGCCGCCGAGACACCGGAGCGACCTCTGCCCTCTTGTCCCCTAATCCCGCCCTCACGCCTGAGGAAGCTCTCAGTTTCCCGTTCTCATCCCACCCCGTTCCCTCCTGTTCGTTCTGTGCCATCCCCAGGTGTGTGCCCTGACGCCTCCGCACCCCGGGCCGGACCGGGCGTCTCCGGGGGGCCATGGGGTCCCTGTTCCGCAGCGAGGAGGTTTGCTTGGCCCAGCTCTTCCTGCAGTCGGCTTCTGCCTACAGCTGCATCAGCGAGCTGGGGGAGCGCGGGCTGCTGGAGTTCAGAGATGTAAGTAGGGGCTGGGGGCGCGTTTTGGGGTGTCTGGGATGCAGGGGGTTCGGCTGGGTGGGCCTGGGTGCGTTGGGTTTGGGGTACTCTGTGTGCAGGAGGCTTGGTCTGGTCGGGCTTGGGGTGGGTGTTCTAGGGTGCCGTGGGAACAGGGAAGTTGGTCAGGCTGGGTTTGGTGCCTGGGCTGCCTGTTCCGCCGGGATGCTGAACTCCCCAGTGCAGTGTGGGGCCATGCCTTGACTGCACCCCGCAGCTGAACCCCAAAGTGAGCCCCTTCCAGCGGCGCTTCGTGGGCGAGGTGCGGCGCTGCGAGGAGATGGAGAAAACCTTCAGTGAGTGCCGGGGGGCCGCGGGCTGACTTTGGGAGGGCTTCTCAGGGGAACGCCCGGCTCGGCCCCTCCGTCTGACCGTGTCCCCCTCTTCTCCAGCCTTCCTGCAGCAGGAGCTGCGGGCGGCGGGGCGGGTGCCGGGGCCGTGTCCCGAGAGCCCGCGGGCGCCGGCGGCGCGGGAAGCGCTGCGGGTGCAGGAGCAGTCGGAGCAGCTGGCGCAGGAGCTGCGGGAGGTCAGCCGCAACCGCGCGTCCCTGCGCGGCCGCCTGCGGGACCTGCGCCAGTACCTGCACGTGCTGCGCGAGGGACAGCGCTTCACCAGCCTGCCGGTGGGTCCGGGGGTCCCCGCCGACCCGGGGGTGCTGCCTCGTGCCTCAGTTTCCCCCGGGCTCATCCCTCTGCTCCGCATCGCCGCAGGCCCCCCTGGGCTCCCCGCCGCGGCCACGGGCGCTCTCGGAGCGTGAGCCCATGCTCGACCCCTCCCTGCACCAGCACCTCGAGCGCAAGATCAAGTGAGAGGGGGAAGGGAGCGGGGCAGGGGTGGAGAGGGGCTCTGGGGCTGTGGTGTGGCCACATCTCCTGCCGTGTCTCTGCAGCTTCGTGGCCGGTGTCATCCACCCGTGGCGAGTGACCGCCTTCGAGCGGCTGCTGTGGCGCGCCTGCCGCGGGTACCTGGTGGCCTCCTTCGTGGAGATGCCCGAGCCAATGGAGGATCCGGCCACGGTGAGGCAGCACCCGGGGGCGGGCTGGTATGGCTGTGCGGGCTGGGACACCAGAGTGACCCCAGAGTGACACAGACTGTGCTGTCCCCAGGGCGAGAGCATCACCTGGGTCATCTTCCTCATCTCTTACTGGGGCGAGCAGATTGGGCAAAAGATCCGCAAGATCTCGAACTGGTGAGTGGCCATGTGTTACCCACAGGGAGGTTTATTCAGTAACACCCACTCTGGACCCTGCTGCGGGGCCGGGCTGGGGAGCCCTGGCACCCCTGACACGGCGATGTCCCTCTGTCCCAGCTTCCACTGCCAGGTGTATGCGTACCCGGAGAGTGAGGCCAGCAGGACAGAGGCCATTACCAGGCTGCACAGCCAGATCCAGGAGCTCAGCGTGGTGAGCTGGGTGCCATGAGGGGATGTGGGGGCCACGCTTGGATTGCCATCCCTGACACAGGTGCCCGCAGACGCTGGAGGAGACGGAGAAGTACCTGGCGGAGGTGCTGGACAAGGTGGCGCAGGTGCTGCCCACCTGGCGCGTGCAGGTGCAGAAGATGAAGGCCATCTACCTCGTCCTCAACCAGTGCAGCTTCGATGTCACCAAGAAGTGCCTCATCGCCGAGGTCTGGTGCCCCGTGCGGGACCTCACCCAAGTGCAGGATGCCCTGCGCCAGGGATCTGTGAGTGGCTCGGTGTCCCCATGTCCTTGCACCAGGGATTGTTCAGTATATCCTTGTTCTTGTTCTGGGGTTGCTCAGTTGTCCTTGTGCCAGGAGTTGCTCTGTGTTCCCATGTCCTTGTGCCTGAGTTTCTTGGTGTCCCATGTTTTCATGTCAAGGTTTTGTCGGTGTCCCCATGCCTCGTGCTGGGGGTTGTTCTGTGTCTCCATGTCCTTTTTATGGGGTTGCTCTGTGTCCCCATGTCTTCATGCCAGAGGTTGCTTGCTGTCCCTGTGTCTCCTCATCATGGTGGAGCATGTGCCAGGCTGAGGGGGATTGTGGGGTGGGTGCCAGGAACAGGCTCCAGGTGCTGGGGGGCTGATGCCAGGAAGGGGGGTGTTGTGGAGTGGGTGCCAGGGGCAGGCTCTCCAGGAGGGTGCCAGGGGTGCTGGGATCAGGTTTTGGGTGCTGTTCCCGCAGTACCAGAGCGGCTCCAGCGTGGAGTGCTTTGTGCAGCGCGTCCCCACCTCGGAGAGCCCCCCCACCCTCATCCGCACCAACAAGTTCACCGCCGGCTTCCAGAACATCGTGGATGCCTATGGGGTGGCCAGTTACCAGGAGGTGAACCCCGGTAAGGCCCCCTGGCACCCCCTGAGGCCCAGAGCTGAGAGGGGACACCTTGTGTAACGCAGTCCGTGTGTCCCACAGCACCCTACGCCATCATCACCTTCCCCTTCATCTTCGCCATCATGTTTGGGGACGTGGGGCACGGGCTGCTCATGTTCCTCTTTGCGCTCTGGATGGTGCTGTACGAGGACAGTCCCCGCCTGCGGCAGGGCACCAACGAGGTGGGGGCACGATGGAGGGGTGGGATGCAGTTGGAGACGTGGGATGGCACTGGGGGCATGGAGCGGGGTTGGAGGTGTGGGACGTGGCTGGGGGTGTGGGGATGGGGTTGGATGATACAGGATGGGGCTGGTGGCTCGGGACAGGGTCAGTATGGGTCAGGGTGGTGTGTGGGGCAGGGGAGGTGGTGTGGGACATGGGAGCCGTGTTTGCCCCCTAGATCTGGCTGACATTCTTCGAGGGACGCTACCTCATCTTGCTCATGGGTGCCTTCTCCATCTACACCGGCTTCATCTACAACGAGTGCTTCAGCAAAGCCACTGCCATCTTCCCCTCTGCCTGGAGCGTGGCCACCATGGCTAACCAGTCCTCCTGGAGGTGGGGTCCTGCCCCCGTGCCCCCTGCCCGGGTCCCCATCTCCCTGCTGGCACTGACACCCCTTGCTCTGTCCCCAGCTCTGCGTACCTCGCCACCCACCCCTCGCTCACCCTGGACCCCAATGTCACCGGTGTCTTCCGAGGGCCGTATCCATTTGGGATTGACCCAGTGAGTGTCCCATGGGGGTCACAATGAGGCGGGACCCTCTTTGGGCTGGTGCAGAGTCTCACCCACCTTGTTTGTGACAGATCTGGAGCTTGGCCACCAACCACCTCAACTTCCTCAACTCCTTCAAGATGAAGATGTCAGTGGTGCTGGGCATTGTGCACATGGGCTTCGGCGTCATTTTGGGGGTCTTCAACCACGTGTGAGTCCTTGGGCTGCACCCACGGGCTCTGATCATGCCAAGGGGACTGGGATTGGACTCACCTGGGTGGGATGGGGTGGCACCTGGGGTCCTGTACCCCTGCACCTCGGTGGGTGCCGAGGATGTGCAAGGGAGAGAAGGGACAGGCTGAGCACGGCCAATGTCCTCCCACCCAGGCACTTCCAGCAGCGGCACCGGCTGGTCTTGGAGTTCCTCCCAGAGATGATTTTCCTCCTGGCTCTTTTTGGCTACCTGGTCTTCCTCATCTTCTACAAGTGGATCAAGTTCAGTGCTGCTGACTCCCTGGTGGCCCCCAGCATCCTCATCCACTTCATCGACATGTTCCTCTTCACCTCCAATGCCGAGAACCTCCCTCTCTACCCGGGGCAGGTACCACCCCACCGCCCTGGCAGGCACCTACTCCCCACCCTGGCAGGGAGAGCAGGTGTCAGGAGTGGGGGTAGAGCCCAAAATGCTGTCCTTGTTCCCCAGGTGCCAGTGCAGATGGTGCTGGTGGTGCTGGCGCTGGCGTCGGTGCCCGTCCTGCTCCTGGGGACGCCGCTGTACCAGTGGTGCCGGCAGCGTGCCCCGAGGACGGTAAGGCCAGGGGCCGTGGGGGGCTCCGTGGGGATCACCAGGAGGTCTCACTGTGGGTGATGTCCCGGTGCAGCCGCTGGCCGTGGGGGAACAGGAGCCGCTGCTGGAGGGACAGGAGGCTGGGAACTCTGTCAACGCCACCACGGAGGACGTGGAGAGCGGGGGGCACAGCCCTGACGCCAAGGTGAGGGGCATCCAGGCGGGCTTCGGTGGTGGGATGAGGGTGTCTGTGCCCCCTGCTGATGTCCTATGTCCTCTCCCTCCCTGCAGCACTTGGACTTCGCTGAAATCTTCATGCATCAGGCGATCCACACCATCGAGTACTGCCTGGGCTGTGTCTCCAACACCGCGTCCTACCTGCGCCTCTGGGCGCTCAGCCTGGCACACGCCCGTGAGTCCCCTTGGTCCCCCCTTGTCCCACCCAGAGCCAGGCAGACCCTCACTCCCCCTCCTGCTCTTGTCCCTCCCGTTCCCAGAGCTCTCGGAGGTGCTGTGGACCATGGTGATGCGGAACGGCTTCGTGGGGCTGAGCTACGTGGGCGGTGTGGTGCTGGTGCCCGTCTTCGCCGCCTTCGCCGTGCTGACCGTGGCCATCCTGCTGGTGATGGAGGGGCTCTCTGCCTTCCTCCATGCCCTGCGCCTCCATTGGTGAGCCCCCAAAGCTGATGGGTTACTGGGATGGGTCTGAGGGGGTGATGGACCCCCCAGAGCACACCTCAACCCCCTCTCCTTGCCAGGGTGGAGTTCCAGAATAAGTTCTACGTGGGTGCCGGGTACAAGCTGTGCCCCTTCGCCTTTGCCCCGGACACCTGGGAATAGCCATGCTTCGGGAATTCCAGGGGCTTGGAACATCAGCTGTGCCCCAAATTCCCCCCCACTGGACCCCTGGAGCCTCCTTGGTGGTGAATAAAGCCGTCCCTGTGGCTCCCTCCAGCTCTGCGTTGCCATTGCTGGAGTAGGAGGTGCAGGGGGTGCTTGGGGGTGCCCCCCATCACTGCTGGCCGTAGCCAAAGGTGGGGGCTGAGGGGGGGCCGTAGGTGCTGAGCTGGGGGAAGGCAGGCAGAGGGTAGGGCAGGGTGCGGGGTTTGGCTCCCACATAGACCCCAGGGGGGCAGGTGAGGGGCTGGAAGGTGGGTGCAGGGAGCTCAGGAAAACTGGGGGGTGCTGCTGGCTGTTGGGGGGCAGCAGCCAGAGCCCCATGGCTGCGTGGAGCCCCTGCAGGGGGGAGAGGCAGCAGCAGGGGCTCAGCCCCCCCCGCAGCCCCCCTACCTTTCTGCTGCTTCTCGGGGCGGGGGGGCAGCGGGGTGGCCCGGGCACGGGGCATCGCCCCCAGCAGGGACCCTGCCGGCACCCCGCACCTGCAAGAGACGTGGGGCGGGGGCTCAGCGAGGTGGCCCGACATCCTCACCGTGGTGTGGGGGTAACGTCCAGGCGTGCCTTACCATGGCTCGGGGTCGCCGTCCCGAAATCCCTTGGCAAAGGGGTTGCTGGCGATCTTCAGCTGGGTGATCTGCGGAGGGGAGCGGGGTCAGGGAATCCCTGGGAGGTCGTCCCGGTTTCCGTCTGGCTGGTGCTCACCCGGTGATTCTGGTAGGCTGTCACTGCCACGAACTGGGTCTCGGGGAAGCTGAAGGACTTGAAGTTCTGGTGGGCGAAGCGCTCGCTGTCGCGCCGCGGGTCCACAAACACGACGTGGAAGCGGGGCTGGTAGCGGTGCATGGAGTTGAGGATGATCTAGGGGTGGGAAAGAGGAGGTGGCAGGAGCCCCCCAGGCAGGGATGCACTGTGTCTCCCGCATCACCCAGCCCGCAGCCGGGTCCTCACGTGGCCGTTGTCGTCCAGGAGGTTGTTGGTCAGCTTGAGCTTGTCGAAGGACACGATCTGCCGCATCCACTGCGCACCCTTGGCCGGGGAGTCGGGGTGGAAATGGACGCGGCCGGGAGCCGCCGGCTCGGCCCGGCCCGCCGCCAGCCAGGATGAGCTGTGGAAGGCGTATCTGCAGGGCAGGGAGGGGCTCAGCACCCCCAGCTCTGGTCCCCTGCCCCCATTGCCCCATCCCCACCTGTATCTCTTGTCATCCAGCGGGATGAAATCCATGAGCAGGACGTAGTCGGCCAACGGATCCAGTCCCGAAAGTTTCACCTGAAAGGTGGGGAACATCCTCCTGCGCACAGAGGGGGGTGGGAAGGGGGTGCCCCCCCACCTTTGCAGCCCCCCCAGGCCACTCCGGTTCCCACCTGCCTGCCTTGGTGACGATCATCTCAGTGCCCAGGCGGTTGAACTCCTCCCAGAGGCTGCCCATCTCCAGCCGTGCCGCGGCGTGGCACACGTGCCGGTTCTTGCCGCTGGCCCCCGGCCCCTCGCCAGCCCACCCGAGGCCAGGGGTGCATGGAGACCCCTCACCCGGGCCCCCCAGGAAGGCTGCAGAGGGTTGAGGGGATGTTGGTCACGGGGAGCCGTGCAGGGCCACCCCATCACACCCTCCTCCATGGAGATGGGGGCAGAGCAGGGTCTCCTGTCCCTCACCACCCCATCCCCCCCACCCCAAAATGCCGCAGGACCCCACCACTGGCCTCCTCCATGGAGATGGGGCAGATCAGGGTCTCCTGTCCCTCACCACAGTGGGGTTTTATCCCCATCCCCCCCACCCCAAAATGCCGCAGGACCCCACAGTGCCCAGGCGGTTGAACTCCTCCCAGAGGCTGCCCATCTCCAGCCGTGCCGCGGCGTGGCACACGTGCCGGTTCTTGCCGCTGGCCCCCGGCCCCTCGCCAGCCCACCCGAGGCCAGGGGTGCATGGAGACCCCTCACCCGGGCCCCCCAGGAAGGCTGCAGAGGGTTGAGGGGATGTTGGTCACGGGGAGCCGTGCAGGGCCACCCCATCACAGCCTCCTCCATAGAGATGGGGCAGATCAGGGTCTCCTGTCCCTCACCACAGTGGGGTTTTATCCCCATCCCCCCCACCCCAAAATGCCGCAGGACCCCACCACTGGGTGCAGGGGGTGTTGTCACGGGTGGGTTTTACCTGCCACGGGTGTGGTGGGAGAGCAGGAGGTGTCCGTGGCTCCGTTCCCCGGCATGGTGGCAGTGGGACCCTGCCAAAGCCCCCTCCCAGTGCAGCGCCGGCTCTGCAGTGTCCCTGCAGCCTGCCGGGGGTTTTATGCCCCAACTCAGGGATGGAGAGGCGGGGGCTGGAGCCGAGGTGGTCCTTGGGGGCTGGAGCACGGCCCCCTTCCCCAGCCTGCCTTCGCGCCTTGACGCGGTGATGATGGACGGGAGGTGAGCGGTGGCACCGCTGGGACCACCACCAGTCCCCAAACAGGGCTTGGGATGCCCCGGGCTGGGCAGGGACATCTTTCTTGGGGTCTTCTTGTCCCTTCATATCACAGATCTGAGCGGGGGGAGGTGGGGGTTCCCCCAGGCAAAGCCCCTCTCGGTACGTGGCCGTCACCACCCGATATTGAAAACCACAGTGAGGTGTTGAGGCGCTGGCAAAGATCCACTGCTCCAGCAGAGCCTCTGCAGCTCCAGAGGCAGGAATGAGCTGCCCCCTCCCTGTAACTCCCCCCAAGGTAGGTCCAGTCTCTGCCCTGGTGCCTGGGACCCCCTGTGCCCCTCATTGCAGTGACAGCAGGAGATGGATGGGGACAAGCAGGCGCCGCGGGGCTGAGGGCTCTTTGTGGGAGGTGACGGACACCGGGATGGGGCATTCAGCAGGAAAAGCAGAGGGGTTACTCCAGAGCTCCCCTACTCCCCTCCAAACTGCACTGGAGCCATGGACGCTGTCTTGTAGCACACCATGGAGTGTATTCTACAGGGATGAGGGATGCTGAGGCTCCGGGAGAGGGTCTGGAGGACCAGGGGATGTCCTTGTGGGGATGCTGATGGCTTTTCTGTACCTGTTGGTGTCCCGGTGATGGCAGCACTGGCCTGAACTCCCTCCCTATTCTGCACAGAGCTGGACATTTTCTCCAACTGGGGCTCAGCCTTCTGTCCAGCCTTGGGTTTGGCACTTGAAGATTGTAGCGCAGAGGGGACCGCGTGTCCCCGGGCACTGTGGGGCAGCCCGGGCAGCTCCTGCATTTGGAACCAGGGCCAGGACTGATGTGAAGCAGGGAGGAGCCCCCTCCCCAGATTCCCCTGCATCCCCCACACGTGTCCGTGCCCCGCGGAGCCGGCTCAGCCCCATCCATCTCCCGCTGTCAGCCAGCCTTGGCTGCGGGCGGCATCGAGCGCCAGATGAAGATGAGGAGGTGTGAGAGAGGCAGAGCTGACAGCGGGCAGGAGCGTGGAGGGGGCTCAGCCCTGGGCAGAATCACACCTGCCACGGCTCATCCACAGCTCCTGGGTGGAACTGGGTGAGCTTTAAGGTCCTTTCCAGTCTGAGCCATTCCAGGATTCTCTGGCCGGTGAAGATGACTGCAGGTGGGTCTCCTGAATCCGTGTTGAAGCACGTGATACAAAATGGCTTTTCAAAATGAACTTATTTGGTCTGAAATGGGCAAACAGGAGCCAGAAAAAAACTTCAAAAAAGGAAAACAGTGAATCTTTCTCACGGGGAGAAGTGTTCACTCAGTTCTCACTGCCCTAGACAGCAGGGCAGAGCTGTGGAGGTTGCGGTGACCACCAAGACGGAGCAGGAGGAGAGCGTTGGCACACAGTCAGATGACTCCCTGCAATGAGCCTCTGACTCAGCTGGAATGGGGAAGTGAAAGCTGCTTGTGGGGGCAGTGAGGGGAGAGGAGGAATTGATCCTGTTTCACAGGGCGCAGTGAACAGCCGGCACGGGGGGTCCAGAGGGAAGTGAGAAGGCAGGAAGTGACAATGCTCATTTCTGAACCAGAAACACACCTGTCTGTGGGCAACTCTTGAGCAGCAGCTGGCTCTTATTTTATTTATTAATTCTTAAGTTTTTTTCTTCAATTTTTAAAACCCTGATTGAGAGAAGAGGAAGAGAATTTTAGCAGGTAAAATTATACACTGGAAGTGTCCAAGGCTGCGGTGGCCAGAGCTTGGAGCACCCTGGCCTAGTAAAAGGTCATGGCAGGGGAACTGGATGGTCTTTAAGGTTCCTTCCAATCCAAACAATTCCAGGTTCCATTTGCTCTAGGGAATGTGTAGTACGAAAGAAAATTGATAATTGCTAAGATAAAGCAATAATTTCCTTTAATATGTCCATTACTTAATGTATTTTCCCCTCCCATGTATAATGGATAAAAGCTATATTATACAAATATAACTATGTATAATTAAAAGGTAATATAGAAATAGAGAAGAATTTAAAAAATCTTTCAAGCTCAAGTCTCCAACAAGCCAGTTTGATTTTGTTTCACTCCTGCTGACGCCATTGTGCACATGAGCAGCATCGCTCCGTCTCTGCAGGCATCCATTCCAATGTGCCGTGGGGATCCCAGCCCTAAAACCCCAGGATGGACCCCAAGGCATCTGGGGAAGGCTCATTCTGTTTCCAGGCACTTCAGAGACCCTTTGGCAACTGCTCATGTGGGGAAGGTGTAAAAGTTAAAATCTTCCAGCCACGTTAGAGAATGGAACAGGAAAAACTTCCTGGTTCTGGCGAGACCGATGGGGCTTGAGGACTTCAGCTCAAGGACCTGTGAGTATCTTGACTCAAGCTGCCATTAACTAAGGGTGGAACTTCCAATGGTTCTGGGACAATTTTTTGCTGGATGGGAACGGTCATAAATTGGATTAGGAGCGGGGTGCTTTTCCCTTGAAGCTGCACATGGATGAACTTGCAATCAGGAATGCTGATCTCATTTTAATTGACCCAAATTGATTGGAAATCACTTCAACGGTGTCTGTTGTCGATTTGATGCAACACTAATTAACGTGGAAAATCAAGGCATTATTGTTATGTTGTGGATGTTGTTGTATTTGTCATTGTATTTATTTGTCCCTAAATAAGAACATCTCCCTCCCCCCCTGCAAAATGGCATCCCTTCCAGGGACAAATGGCCGTGTCCAAGGCCAGGTTGGATGGGGCTTGGAGCAGCCTGGGATAGTGGAAGGTGTCCCTGCCCATGGCAGGGGTGGAACGAGAGCAGCTTTAGGATCCCTTCCAACCCAACCCATTCCAGGATTCCGTAATTCCATGCGCCCCTGGCTCCTTCGATGCCTCCAAACCTCCTGCTGTTGTCCCACACCACCTCCTCTCCAGTGTGTCCCTTTCCACCCAGGCAAGGCTGATTTTCCACCCCAGCTGCAGTTTTCTGATGATTCCAGGTTTCAGGACCTGAGTCATCTGAGCCCAGGACTCATCCTCTCTCCTTGCAGGCTTTGAGTGAGTCACCACAGGTTCCCCTGATGGAGACAGCAAAGTGTCTGGGGGCTTTGACTCATCTGCTCTATCTGAAACATTTCTTTATGGAAAAAGGGCATGGATTTCTCCACTTGCTGCCTGGTGGTGAAGGGTGGCGGGGTGACAGTCACGTGGGAAATGTGGGATTTATTCAGAGCAGGCATACTCTGGGCACAGGAGTCAATTTGAGTCTCAAGGGCTTAAATTCAGACTATAATCATCATCAGGAACTGTAAAAATTATTTGCAGCAGGAGAGTTCATGAAGGGTTTTCCCTTTATCCCAGTTTGCAGTTGGAACACTTCTCCAAATCCTGGACTGTCTCCCAACTCCTGGATCTTGATTTCCTGCATCAATTCTTTTTAATACCCTGTGATGTCTATAGACCAGTTACATATTCCAAGAGATAAATTTGTAGATATACAATTATGTATTTCTAAGAAAAAGTGCTTTATATATATTAAGAAATTATATATAAACATTTTCTTTATATATTAAAATAATATATTGAAGTTATTTTACATGTTTAATAATATGTAAAATAATAAAAAATATATATGTCATATATGTATACAGAAGTAGGACATCAATCCTCAAGTTTCCATTTAACTTTCTGGAACTGATTGAATTTATTTAACTAATTGTGTTTATTTATCAGTGCAGGTCTCCTCTCAAGGAGCTGCTTCCAAAGTAACCAATTCCCAAACCATTCCAGGATTCTGCGTGGGTCTCACTGGGACATGGCACATCCTCTTCTGGGCTACCTCGAGCATGTTGATCCATCTAATTCTGCCTGAGGACATGAAAACTGCTCCAGCTGCACCTGGGAGGGAAAAGGAGCCAAAATCTTCCTCCAGGTATGTTTGTGTTGGGTATAGGGAAGCAATCCTTCCCTGGGAGGGTGGTGGCACAGGGCAGCTGTGGCTGCCCCTGGATCCCTGGCAGTGTCCAAGGCCAGGCGGACAGGCTGATCCTGGTGAATCCTGGTACAACCTGTTGGAAGGTCCTCTACTGCCCTGCACAGGGATCTTATGGAATTTGAGTAGGAAAGCAGGTGCCACAGCGGAGACCCTCACTGCAGAGGACAGGGATGAGTAATCCACACCGAGCACAGACCAGGCACCAGCCTCCCAGCAGGGATGAAATCCAATTCCTGCTTTTTAACTGGATTCATTTCCATTCTGTGTCTCATATCCTTCCACCAAGCAAAGGTTTGTTGAGGAAGAAGAAGCGAGGCTGAACTTGGATTAATCAAAACACTGAAGTCAGTTCTCTGACAGGGGCAGATTCCCGGATGCAGGCAGGTGGAGGCTGCCCCGGGGAGGGCTCAGCCCCCAAACCGCTCGATTTTCATTATCTGTGACATCTCCAGCACGTCCCGGTGTCTCCTTGCCTCCGGCATCTCCTCGTGGGTGATGAGAAGCAGCTCTAAATCCTCATTAGAGCACCAGGAGACCAGACACATGGCTTCTGGGACATCTGCAACGGGATGTCAGGTTCTGGGGATGAGGCTCAGCCCTTCAGCCAAGATTTATCCAATAATGATGATTTTTAGGTTTGGATCCATTTGTCAGGAGCCTGTGGTGCCTGCCCTGGGTTTACTCTCTGGTGTAATTCTGCCAAGCCATGATTAATGTTATCCAGGAGAAAAATCAATGTTTGTTTATTCTATCTGTCACGGAGCGGGATTTTAGGAGCTGTTGATCTCTCCCTGGTGAGCGGCAAGACGGAGCCTGAATTTATCTTTTTATCTCTAATGAAGAATCACAGCTAGGGCACAGTGAGGTGAGACAAAGCCCAGCTCATATTCCCAGTGCTCTCACCTAGACAAGCTCTTCCTGGGACACGGGCAGCAGCTATTTATTCCTCAGCCTGGACTGGGAGCACTCAGAAAACAGGGAAAATTTTCATTTTTCCAGCAGGTACTGGAAAAATCGTGGACTTCCATGTACGAATGGTTGGAGGAGCACTAAGAGGAAGCCCTGCAATTTCCCGATGATCTGTCCTGGTGCGGTATTTCCCTCTTTAGCTCCCCAAAAATTCCCGATTCCAGCGGCTCCACCCGCGGCTCTCCCGACGGCCGGCGCGCGCGTGGCGCCCCCTGCGGGCGGAGCGCGGTACTGCGCCCAGGGGACTGCGCATGCGCAGTCCTGCCATGTCAGGCGGCGGCGCGGGACGTTGGCCCTTGTGTGTCAGTGCTGCCGCCGTGTGGGCGCGCCCGGCGCTGCAGGTGCCGCTCCCCGGCGTGCCCGGCCTCACGGGCCTGAGCCGGGCCGAAAGCTCTGGATCAGCAGGAATATGTTTGTGGGATCGAATTTGGTTCGGAAGGGACCGCAAAGCGCGTCTAAACTCTTGCTTTCTGATTCTGCAGCAAAGAACACGTCTAAAGCGGACTCCTCGGCCTCGTGGACATTGTCAGTGCTTTCCATAGCGCTGCCCGGGCTTGTCTGGGAATGGGAACGGCTGGTGGGAGCTCTGGCAGAGCACCTGGAGACCAGGTAAAATCAGAAATGGGATTGTTCTGGCTGCTGCAGGGTGTACGTTTCTTTTCAAGATGCTGCTCTGATTGATCTGTGTCACAGTAGCTTCCTAGAGCTGGAGTCATTTCCTAGCAGGGAACTTGACTTGGAAGCTGCATTCCAAACTCTTGTCCACATTTATTTTATCTCCCCCATGGAGTTGCCTAGAGAAGCAGAGGTGGGGTGTTCCTAACAAAAGAACATCCAAATTCATTGGTGGTAGAGGGCTTAAAATTAAAGTGTGAGTGGAGGTGCCTTTAGGACACTTCAAATTCCTTAGTATATGAAGGGAATTTAAATGAAATATCCAAATCCTGACAAGCTTGTATGAACTCCAAAGTCCCTGCAAGCGTTTTACAGCCAGGGAGGGAGACAAGAGTCTGGAGTCTCTCCCCAAAAACTGGCTGCTGGTTTGTTTGACCAGGCCTAGGAATGACTGTGTATTCCCTGGGGCTGTCCTTATGGAGAAGGGTTTATCTGTGTGCCCTGGGTTTATTCAGTGCATCTCCAGAATGATGGAAACTGATTCCATCGAAGTGCCAGAGGTGCCCAATGCTCTCCCCAGCCAGAGCTCGGGGCCAGCCCTGTGGGAAGGGCTTTAATGCCCATTTTCCCAATCCCTCGAGGCAGCAGCACTGGAGCACCTGAGCCAAGCATGCCCAAGGTGCCCAGTGCTGGCAGGAGGCAAATCCAGGGATTGGGCAGTGGGAGTTTGCTCCTGGAATCCCAGCCCTGGAGCTGTGCTTCAGAGAGCCCAGGAGATGCTGCCTCACTCCAACCTCGTTTAAAGCTCAGCATCCTCCCTGAGCCCTTGGAAATGTTGTTGCTTCCATTGTTGCTCTCTCCCAATATTATTATTGTAAATTCCCACTCCATGTCTTGCATAGCCCTTTGCTTCCCAGAGGTGGTGCTTTAGGAAAGCCCCTCCAGCCTGGGAAGGTGCTTTTGGCTCCAGACACATTCCCAGAGCCCAGGAGCAGCAGGAGCTGTGCTGTGCCCAGCAGGTGAGGCAGAGCTGCCTTTCCTTCCTTCCCTGCTGCACTTTGGCTTTTTGAGGGATCTCTGGGGCTCTGAGGGAGAAGTTCTTTGTCACTCCAGGGCAGAATTAGCCCTGCTCCCACTAAAAGCAGGAGGAATCTTAAGGAATTTTATCCTTGTTTTTGGATAGATGTTTTGTGTCTTCTCTCTCTTTTTCTCTTGTGTTTTCTCTCTGTTGCTGACACCGTGTGGTGAAGCAGCAGCTCCCAACCTTGTAACTGAGGTAATCTGCTATGGACAGGTAGGGAAATTACTGGGGGATAAAAACTGAAAGCATCTGTAGGGTAAAGAATGAAAATATTGATGTGGAAATGGGGTAATAGGGAGTGGACAGGTAGGGAAATAATGGGAGTAAAGCTTGTGGTAATCCCCAGAGTAGAGAAAGAATGCTTTCTTGTAAGAAGTGAGGAAATCAGAAGGGGACAGACAGGGAAAATTTGGAGGGAAAATCTCAGATAATTTCAATTTGAGGGAAGGACTGTTTAAAGATAAACTCGGGACTTGCTGTGTCCTCCTTCCTTGGCAGCAGCCGGCAGGGAAGGGAGAAGAGGCCTCAGGCTGGAGAGGGGCAGGAGAAAGACACTGGGAGCAGAGGAACCCCCCTGGTGTCACCAGGGCACCCATGGGGAACAGAATGGACACTCTGGGAGCAAATGGAAGTGTTTGGATCATCCCTTTGGGGGTTGCTGGCATTTAGATCATTCCATCCATTTGGCTGCTGAAATTTCCCAGCCCAGGGGCTTTGGCTGCCAGGGCAGCACAAAGATTGATCCCTGTGTGGTGCCCAGATTTGGGGTTCAGCTTTGCTGTTGAGATGAATTGTAGCTGTAGCCCTGAATTCCCTGCTGAATTCCTGCTGGAATAACCTCACAGTGCCTCATGCAGCATGGATATTCCCACACAGAGCTGCCTATGGAATATTTAACAGCAGCTGTGCCAGGAGCCAGCAGAGGTTCCAAGGAAGCTCAGTGGGATCAGGACGAGGACAGGCTGATATTCCACAGCATTTGCTGTTTATAACCCTTTGCTGGTTATTCACCCCCCAGCCCTGTCCCTGGGGGCACGGGACAGAGTTCCCTGGAATGCAGGGACTCCACCCCGAGCTGGCTCCAGCTGATGTTTGGAAGCAGCAGAGGGCGGTGCCGGACGCGCTCCCGGCCGTGCTGGGGCAGCCCCTGTGCCCGGGGGAGGACATCTCTCCCTGCAGCAGCTGAGCTCATTCCAGAGCCTCGGGAGCGCCTCTGGGAGCTCTTTTCCCTTGGGAAAGGGATGCACATCCCTGCCCTCAGGGCACCTGCAGTGGGACCCACCTCTGGAAGCTTCCCATCAGTTCTGCAGTTCCAGCTGGCTCCCTGAAAAACTCCAAACTTCATCCAAACAAAACTTCACCTAACGCCAACCTTTCATTTTAAGGCATCTCCGAGGGCACTGCTTGGGATGGAATTTCTGTGAGGGAAATTCCTTGGCTTTAAGGCTGCCGATGGAGGATGTCCCCAGGCTGGCAGGGAAGGGACTGGGGGTGCCTGGGACACACCTGGTGGGCGTGTGGCAGCTCCAGGAGGCGGCACCGGGAATTGCTGTCGGAACTCCTCTGCAAACCTCACGTGCCGGCACTCCCAGGCAATGCCAGCTGTTCCTTGGGCTGTTTTTGGGATGTCAGCGGGCTCTGTCCGGGCTGCAGCATCTCCGGGGCCTGTTCAGAGCAGCCCCTGGCCGAGGAGCCGCGGGCAGCCCTGGATCCGTGTCCATCCCAGCGCCCGTCCCGGGCTGTGCTGGGCACGCTGCCTGCCGCGGGCAGGACACTGAGGCACAGCTCCTCCCCTGCAGACACCCAGGACTGAGGGGCTGGGCCCTCCCTGGGGCTCCCGGCCGGCTGGGACACACGGAGGGAGCACGGGAACACTCCTGGCAGCCAGCAGGAGTCCCCGAGGGCTCCGTGCAGCTCTGGGCCTGAGCAGCAGCCCCGGGCTCAGCCCCCACCGTGATTTTGGGCTGTGAGCACTCACCTGCGGGAAACGCCCCTCTGCCGGCGGGACCAGCCCTGGCGCTCTCCAGAAGAACTCGGGGCTTGGACCAAGGGAACCCTCAGGACTCGTCTTGCTCCTTTCTCCCTGGAAAGGGACACGGCACAAGCACCCTTACGGCCATCAGGGAAGTGCTGGAAAGGGCAGGAAATCAGGGTTATTGGAAGAGTTTTGTGCTGTCACACAGCTGTTCACCTGTGTTGTTCCACGGTCAGGTGCTGGCCATGGAGCTCTGCCCTGTGGACATTCCAGGGGCTGGTGTGTAAAGCAGCATTGGCAGAAAAGAAGGAGCTGCATTGGCATAGGAATTGCCTTGCTGGCACTTGGCATTCCCATCCCAGGCAGGGCATTGCCATGACCTGAGACTGGCTTGGTTGGAGCAGGGTGCCGAAAATGCCCCGGTTGTGGATTCAATCCCCAGCTCAGCCCTTCACATAAGGGTTCAACTTGGTGCTCCTTGTGTGTCCCTTCCCACTCGGGATACGTAATGACCTGGAAATAAAGACTAAACCCTTTTCACTGGCTTTTTAAACCCAGAGGGTTTTTTTGCATTGGATAGTGCAACCCATAGGGAAAGTGGGGGAAAGGCGGGAGAGCACCAGGTCTCACCTGGCAGGTGTCGGATGAGCGGCCCGAGCAGAACCGAGCCCCGCTGGGCCCCATCCCGCACCGGGCACAGCCGGAGCAGGAGCGGCAGCGCCGGGCTCGGCCCCAGCGCCCGGCCCGGAGCGGCTCCTCCGGCCCGCGGCGATGCGGCCCCGCTCGTTCCGCGGGGCGCGGCCCAGCCTGGAATTCTGGAGGACACAGAGATCAGCTCAGTTGTTTTGAGCAGAGTGCTGAGAACACCAAAGGCTGTGGGTTCAGTCACTGGGTGGGCCATTTACTTAGAGCTCGCCTCCATCCCTTCTATCTCACGATATCCTGTGATCTGGAAACACAGAATAAACGTTTCAACTAGAATTTCACAAATGGAGATTTTGCCATTGGAGACTCTGAGTTGCACAGATCTCGGGGGAAGAGGAAGGAAAGCACCAGGTCTCACCAGGCAGGTGCTGAATGCGCAGCTGGAGCAGGACAGCGCCTATCCTGGAGCAGATCATCCTCCTGCCCGCGGCTCTGCAGCTCCGCTCATTTCCCAGGGATGCGGCGGGCACAGGACGGGAGGCGGGCCCTGCTCTGCTCAGGGGTGCCGGGGCAGAGCGAGCTCCCCATCCCCGCGGGGTTGCCAGGCCGGTCCGACCCAGCGGGACCAGCGGCCTCGGGGGGCCCCGCGCCCCGCCCGCTTCCAGCCGCGATCCAGCGCCTGCTCCGGGAAAGCGCCGCGCTCCTGCCGGGCCCGGCATCAGCACAGCCCCGGCTCCCCGAGGCCGCAGCGGGACCTGCCCGGAGCCGCAGCGGGACCGCAGCCCCGCGGTCCAAGCGGGAGCGGCAGCGCCGGGCTCGGTCCGCGCCCGTCCTGGAGCGGCTCTTCCCGCTCACGGTGATCCCGATCCCCGTCCCAGCCCCAATCCCGCCTCGGTTCTGCAGCGCCGTGACCCGCAGCCCGCCCGGCGAGGGAGAAGCGGCTCAGCCCGGGATCCCCAGCAGACGCCGGCAGGACCCGGACCCGAATCCCCAGGCCCGGGTCCCGTTCCCGGCCCCACCTCAGCGCCTCGAGCTCCGCGCGGCGCCGGGAGCAGCCCCCGGTCCGGGGCTCCGCACAGCGCTCCGAGCGACGGCCCCGCCGCATCCCGGGACGAGCATCCACCGCAGAAAGCGGAGCGGGCGCGGATCCGCCGGGATTTACGGGCGCGGGCGGGGCGGGGCGGGGCCGGCTCAGGTGTGAGGGGCGGGGCCGGCTCAGGTGTGAGGGGCGGGGCCGGCTCAGGTGTGAGGGGCGGGGCCGGCTCAGGTGCGCGGCCCCAGAGCGGCTGCGCGGGGCGGGGCCAAGGGTATTTAAGCGCCGGGAATCGCCTCAGGAGCCATTTGTCCCTCGGCGCTCGGAGGGGGAGGCTGCGCCGGTCCGGGCTCCATATTTGATCCCCGTGCCGGGACACCCATCACTGCACCGGGACAGCGATCCCCGTGCCGGGACACCCATCACTGCACCGGGACAGCGATCCCTGTGCCGGGACACCCATCACTGCACCGGGACAGCGATCCCCGTGCCGGGACACCCATCACTGCACCGGGACAGCGATCCCCGTGCCGGGACACCCATCACTGCACCGGGACAGCGATCCCCGTGCCGGGACACCCATCACTGCACCGGGACAGCGATCCCCGTGCCGGGACACCCATCACTGCACCGGGACAGCGATCCCCGTGCCGGGACACCCATCACTGCACCGGGACAGCGATCCCCGTGCCGGGACACCCATCCCCCGTTCCCCGCTCGGGGCTGTCTCGGTTCCCCGCTCACCTCCGAGCCCGGCGCCGCCGCCCCCGGTCCGGCACCGCCATCGCCGCTCCTGAGTTTGGTCCCAGAAAAAAACCCGGGTTTTATTTCTGAGCTCGGACTAGCAGGAGTTGCCCCTCCCCTCCCCGGGGACCCCCAGTGTGATGTCGGGACAGCCGGAGCCCCGGCGGTGTCGGGCGGTGTATTGGACCGGAATGGGGGGACCCGCCGAGCGGGCCCGGCCCCGTGTGGGGTTCCAGGGACAGCGGGGGCGCCGGGCTCCGGCCCTCTGGGCTTTATTCTCCGGCGCCCCGAGCCCCGCGGCTGCGGGGAATGAAGGAGAGGGGAGGACGGGGAGACAGGAGAGAGGGAGGACATGAGCAGGGGTAGGGAGCGGGAATATCGGGGTGCGGAGGAAAGCGGGAGGAGAAGGGAAAGGCCAGAAAGGGAGGAGAAGAAACGCGGACAGAGGAGGGAGACAGGGGGAATAGAAGGAATTAACGGGGTAGGGACAGGAGAGGAAGGAGTGAGGGGGGTTTGGGGAGGTTTTGAGGGAGAGAGGGAATAGGGGGAAGGGGAGGCAGGGGCACGGGGAGGAGGAAGGAGGGGTAGAGGGGGGACAGGAGGGGAGGCCGAAGCCGCCGCGCCCCTCCTGAGGAGCGCGGACACGGAGCTGCCGTCCGCACCGAGCTCGGAGTGAGCAAATGGCGCCGGAGGCGATTTCCGGGCATTAAATGGCTTCGGCCCCGCCCCGCGCAGCCGCGCTACGGCCCCGCGCACCTGAGCCGAGTCTGCCCCGCGCACCTGAGCCGAGTCTGCCCCGCGCACCTGAGCCGGGCCCGCCCCGGCGGTGTCGGGCGGTGTATTGGACCGGAATGGGGGGACCCGCCGAGCGGGCCCGGCCCCGTGTGGGGTTCCAGGGACAGCGGGGGCGCCGGGCTCCGGCCCTCTGGGCTTTATTCTCCGGCGCCCCGAGCCCCGCGGCTGCGGGGAATGAAGGAGAGAGAGGGGGACAGAGGACGGGAATAGGGGGACAGAGGACGGGAATAGGGGGACAGAGGACGGGAATAGGGGGACAGAGGGGGTGGTCGGGGTGGGTCAAGCGTGGAGGGCAGGTGGGGGGGTCGGAGTGTGTAGGGGAGCAGGGGCAGGATGGGCGGAGGATGGAGGACGAGGATGGAGGACAGGTGGGGGGGATCAAGGTGAAGAGGAAAGAGGAGGAATAGGGGAAGGTAGAGGGGGAAAGAAGGGTGAAGGAAGGAGGGTGAAGATTCGGGGCAGGTGGGGAGGAACTGGGGCGAAGAGGAGCAGGGTGAGGAGGCAGGTGGGAGCCGGGGTGGGGGGGGAAAGGAAGCGCGGAGGAAGGAGGAGAAGGGTACAGGGGTAGGGTTGGGGTGTGCGGGGGGATAGGAAGGGTAGGGGGGACCGGCCCGGAGGGAACCGGCCAGGGGACAGCGATCCCTGTGCCGGGACACCCATCACTGCACCGGGACAGCGATCCCCGTGCCGGGACACCCATCACTGCACCGGGACAGCGATCCCCGTGCCGGGACACCCATCACTGCACCGGGACAGCGATCCCCGTGCCGGGACACCCATCACTGCACCGGGACAGCGATCCCCGTGCCGGGACACCCATCACTGCACCGGGACAGCGATCCCCGTGCCGGGACACCCATCACTGCACCGGGACAGCGATCCCCGTGCCGGGACACCCATCCCCCGTTCCCCGCTCGGGGCTGTCTCGGTTCCCCGCTCACCTCCGAGCCCGGCGCCGCCGCCCCCGGTCCGGCACCGCCATCGCCGCTCCTGAGTTTGGTCCCAGAAAAAAACCCGGGTTTTATTTCTGAGCTCGGACTAGCAGGAGTTGCCCCTCCCCTCCCCGGGGACCCCCAGTGTGATGTCGGGACAGCCGGAGCCCCGGCGGTGTCGGGCGGTGTATTGGACCGGAATGGGGGGACCCGCCGAGCGGGCCCGGCCCCGTGTGGGGTTCCAGGGACAGCGGGGGCGCCGGGCTCCGGCCCTCTGGGCTTTATTCTCCGGCGCCCCGAGCCCCGCGGCTGCGGGGAATGAGGGAGAAGGGGGATGGGGGGAATGAGGAGAGGAGGGAGAAGGGGGAGCAGGAAAAGGGAATAAGGGCAGGAGGAAGGAGGGGTAGAGGGAGGTACAGGATGGGACCCCGAGGGCCCCGTGTCTCACCTGGGCCCCTCCGGAGGAGCCCGGCCCGGCCGGCCCCGAGCGCTGAAGGAGCCCAGGAGTCCGGGGCGGTTCCCGGGATTTAAATCCCCCGGTCCCGCCCCGCGCACCTGAGCAGGCCCGGCCCGCCCCGTGTGGGGCCGCTCGCCCCGGGTGCATCGCCTTGTCCTGGTTCGGCATCAGCTGTCCGTGCTTGCAGCGAGATGGGAACTCCCATCCCCATGGATACACCTCTCCCTGCAAGCTCTCGCACTGACCCAGCTGGTTTTCCACCTCCCTTGTCCCAGACAGGGAAGCACTGGCTGCTCCTCTGGGCAAGGGAACGGCTCCTGTGCTATTCCCAAAAACAGAACCCCTGGAATTAGTGCCCTGGGAGCCCAGTCTGGTCCTTCCAGTCCCTGGGGGTCACCCAGAGGGTCTTTACCAGCACTAAATGAAAATGACATCCTGCTCCAGTGCATTCCAGCAGGACTGGACACTCCTGGCCACGGTGACCAGTCCATGCAAGTTGGACTGGTGACAATCCAGCGGGATTTGAAGTCGGAGACTCAAAATCAGAAACTCCAATTCCTTTCAGCACCTCTTGCTTAAATGCTTCCCTGCTGGAAGAGCTCAATTAGCATTTTTGCTGACCAGACTGCCAAAGCAAGGGAAAAACAATCAGCATTCCCTGAATGCCTCCATCACTTCCAAGCCATCTGCAGCCAGTGGCTGATGGGCAGGAGCTCAAGGGGTGGTATTAATTCCATTATTCCCAAGGTTTGAATGATTTTGGCATTACCCCATGTCCCTGAGTGTGCCAGAAACCCCAGAAATCCAGGAGCTGCAGCCAGCTGCAGGCAGGTGTTTTTCCTTCTCAGCTTTTTGGGAGTGTGGGTGAAGGTCCCCTTCCCTGTCTGGCTCTGGGAGCTGTCCCTGCCACAGACCCCAGAGTGATCTTGGGCCCTGCTGGAGCCAATTCATGTCACATCCTACAGGAAAACAGCAAAGTGCCCAGTCGGCCCAAATTCCAGTGAGGAATGTCTCAAGCAGCACTGTGGGGTGTTCCTCCAGCTCTGGAAGGGAAGCTGGGATGAGCCCAATTCCCAGTGCTCCCTGTGGAACAGCACTTCAGGTTTTGGGTCAAGGGCTTTTCCTGATGCCCTGAGGCACAGGATGATCCAGACATTTGTCCCTCCCTTATTTCTCACACACTCACAGACTGAGGTCCTGCTCTTTTTGCCCCCTCTCAGGAGCTGCAATTGCCAGTGGGATTTTCCCACTTTTCAGCAGACCAGGGATCATTCTCCAGTGTCTCCAGGAAATTTCCAGAGCTGACCCATTCCCAAGTACAGAGCTCAGGAGAAGGGAAGAACAAAGGTTTTAGCACTTACCATCTTTCATTTTCTTTTCCCACAACAAGTTGCTCTGGATCTTTCCATCTCAGAAGGTTCCTTGTCTTTGTTTCAGCCTCAGAGGATCCTGTGAGGAGATTTCACACCCACAAATCAAGATCCCAAACCCAGAGGGCTGTCCATGAAGGTGGAGCAGTGTTGGCTGCTCCAGTGAATTTCCTCCATGTGCACAACTTAAAAACCATTACACCACTTCATAATTACCTGGAGCTGGTGCTGTAACAACGAAAAATTGATTTTCCATGTCCAGAGGCAAGAGATTGTCCTGGTCAGGCTGTGAGACCTTAAACTGCACATTGATCTGGAGGCTGTGACTGGGATTCCAGCAGGGATTGAACCTTGTCTGTGTGGAAACCCAGCATGGGACTGGGCAGGTTTTCACTGGGGAAAGCTCTTGCTTTATTCCTTGGCAGCTTTTCTCTGGAATATTAAACAAAGAGGGAGGCCTTGTCCTTAATCCAATTACCACAGGGCAGCAAATCACTGTTTCTTGTTTACCAGCTATGAACAAAACTTGGAGCAGCACTGACAAGGTTGGGAGCTGCTGCTTCACCACACGGTGTCAGCAACAGGGAGAAAACACAAAACCTGTATCCAAAAACAAGGATAAAATGACCCCTCCTGCTTTTAGTGGGAGCAGGGCTAATTCTGCCCTGGAGTGACAAAGAACTTCTCCCTCAGAGCCCCAGAGATCCCTCAAAAAGCCAAAGTGCAGCAGGGAAGGAAGGAAAGGCAGCTCTGCCTCACCTGCTGGGCACAGCACAGCTCCTGCTGCTCCTGGGCTCTGGGAATGTGTCCGGAGCCAAAAGCACCTTCCCAGGCTGGAGGGGCTTTCCTAAAGCACCACCTCTGGTTCACATCCTACGGGCTTTCCCCTCTCTTGGGAAAGGAAGGACTTCATCCAGAGCCTGGAGAAGGAGGAAAAAAGGAGCCCATGCCCATGAACTGTTCTGATGAGCCATGGGGGGACACAGAAGTTGTGCAGGGATTTCTGCCCCAGGGGTCACATTCCTTCACAGGGGCTGATCCACTGTCTTGGCTGTTTTCCGTAATCCAGCATTCAGGGACTCCAGAGCTGGACAATCAGGATCAATCCCAGGTTCCAGGCACTGGCACAAAGCAGCTGCTGTGCTGGAAGGGCCAATTTCAGAGGCTCCTCTCCCCTCAGCTGGGAATTCAGTGCTGCAAAGGGCCTGGCAGTGATTGTGGATTTATCTGTTCCTATGGATTCATCCCCAACATTCACTGCCAAGTGCTGCTGGGGCATCTCCCCCCAGAAAAAAGCTGTGCCCACTCCAGAGGGTCCTCAGTGGGGTCCCTGCCCAGTTCCCCAGGATGGATGGGAAGCTGCTACTGACAGGCTGGATCTCAGGAGAACTTCAGTAATTTGCTAAAGCTTCTAAAACAGGGACTTGTTTCCAAGTCTAAGGCAGCTCAAATCCTACTCCTAATAAAGTGCTGCAAAAATGTGTCTATGTAGGGGAATGTCCTTTTAACTTGATTTCAGGGAAGAGTTGCCTGGGATTTTAGTTATAATTTAGATCAGTCTGTGACAAATCAGACAGAAAAAAAACTACCCAGAAGCTCAAGGTTGACTAAGCATGAAGAAAAAAACCCACAGGAGCTCAATTCCTGCACAGCCCAGACCTGACACTTTGGCTCATACGGGAAATAGATGGGAAGTGCAGAACCAAGTTCAGTCCTACCTTTAAGCAACCCCCAAGGAGTTGAGAGCCCTCCAATGAAACCCTGGCTCAGGACAAGCCTCTCCTGCCTGTGCCATTGGTCCAGGTGAGCACAGGTGCTCCAGCTGGGAGTGACAGTTCCTTGGAAGGCAGCATCTCCTACCTGGACTTGAGCCGTCCCCAGCCTTTGGTGGCCGCTCTCTCCATCCTCCCACACCTCCTCATCTTCCTCCTCGGCAGGGCTGCCTTCCTCATCCTGCAGAGCAAGCACAGGGACAGTCACCAGCCTGCTCATCCCCAGCCCGGGCAGCAGGGACGGACTGGTGGCACCCTCTGGATGTCACCCCTCTGCCCGGCACCGTCCCTGCTCCGCGGCCCATTCCCGTTCCCGGCCGGGCATCTCCTTGGAACGGGATGTTAAACCACAAACGTTTGCTCTGGGGGCTGGGACAGCACAGACTCCCCCGAGGCAGTGGGCAAAGCTCCTGCTCCCACATCCTCTGCTCCCACAGCCCTGCTGGGGCTGGACAGAGCAAAGGGAATCCTCAGCTCCTGCTGGAACTTTCCTCCTGTGCCCACAAACCCAGAGAAACCGTGGCTGCTCCATCCCTGGAAGTGTCCAAGGCCAGGCTGGATGGGGCTTGGGGCACCCTGGAATAGTGGAAGGTGTCCCTGGACTGAACTCAGCAGTTCCTGGATTTTCCTGTAGCTGTGCTCATATTGCTGTGGCCTGAACATTTTGAACACTGACCAGCTCCTGCCCAAATATCAAAACTAAGCATTTTCAGTCACATTCCATTTATTCCCCTTTCCCATTGTTATTTATGTGACATTCATTATTGTTGCAGCAAAAGAAATAAACAGGAATGGAAATTTGAGAAACAAAGGACAAAAAAAATGGCTTTGTGGCACGTTTTTCTTGAGAAATCAATTGCATTTTTGAAACAGGACTTCAATTTCAATGGGAGCAAGAGATAAATCCACTAGGAGGGGGATAAGAGATAAATCCTCCACTTGGAGGGCCCATTGGTCTGACCCAGCTGGGCGGGTACAGAAAGAGACCCCGGGAGTCTGAGCAGTGACTGGCACAGGATCCGAGCCAAATCCCCAGGGAATTCCTCCAGGGAAACAGGAGTGCCTCCAGATCCTGACACCTCTGCACAGCTAAGGAAAACTCAGGACCGTCCGAAGCTGTGTCATCCCAAACTGTGCTCCCTCCGGAAAGCCAGACAACAATGAAAGCACCTGGGGAGCACTGGCAAGGAAAGCTGCTGGAACCGCTCCGATTTCACACATGGATTTTACAATCCATTTTATTCCGCCTGCGACTTTCCCCACCTTCACTACCTGTCACCTCAGAACACTCATTCTCTCCCCCGCACATTAACTCACATTTTACTCCAAAATGTTCATTTTGCGCCCTACAGAAACCAGTCCCGGAGCGACGCCCCAGACCCCCCACGGCTGAGGCGGCTCCGGTGCCACCTCGCACGGCCAGTCCCCGTCGTTGTCCCTGTCCCGGTCCAGCTCCGGTCCCGGTCCCGGTCCAGTCTCGATTCCGGTCCAGCTCCAGTCCCGGTCCAGCTCCATGTCCCGCTCCCTGTCCCGGTCCGGCGGAGCCGCGGGAAGCGCCCGGAGCGCTCGGAGCTGCAGTACCGGGGGTGTCCGCAAGGCGGCAGCACTGAGGGCCCCGGTCACCGCGCATGCGCAGCGGTTTTAGGGGTGCCAATAAATCCCAATTTCAGTGAATCCCAGATCCCGGATTTCGGGTGTTCCAGCGGGGGGAGGGAGAAAGAACTCCGCGTACACAGAGCTGTTTCTAGGTCCTTCATACAGATAATCTTGTCTAACTATTTCAAGCCCTTTATTGTTTCATTTATATACCTAAAACCTTGTATTTTTATTTTCAAACCCTGTGGATCCATATTCAGAATTCCTTACAATCTGAAATTCCGTCTGTAACACAGCATATTTATCTTGAAATAAATAACGGGTTTATATATACATAAATGAGACTCTTTACACTTTCTAGTGGTTTCAACATAAATCAATTTTCAGGCATTTTGGGGCTATAACCTCCCTTTTTTGGGGGATTCCAACTGTTTCCTCCTCATTGCCCACTGACCAGCTCCCCCACCACAGACATTGGGGTGCTCCAAATGACACCATCACCTCACAGACTCACACACTTCTCATTTTCCTCACCCCAGAGAAAGCACAAAACACGTCCAAGTGCCCTGGCCAGCAGCTCAGTGCTTCCATAAGAAGCACATGGACATATCCCCAAAAAGGGGGCGAAAATCGAGGCCCGGGCAGCCCCCCAAAGTGTTGGAGTCCCCCCAGCTCCTGTCCCACAGGCAGGCAGCTGCCCCACGGCACGGGAATTGTCCCCAAGGATGGTGTCTCATCTTTCCCCTGAGGCCCCACCACGTTCCCCCTCCACTCCAGGCAGAGGACTCCCCAGTTCCAGGAGATGTCTGATCCCTTCCCTAGGCCCTCCTGGACACGGCTGGGCCGTGATGGAGTCTGTGCTCCCAGAGCCACCCGGCAGCTCCGGCCCTTGCACTGCTGCTGCACATCTGGCCCGGCCAGGGGAGCTGAAAGAACGCCTGGAAGTTTACAGAGCAAACTGGAAACACAGCCCCAAACCTCACTCACTTGGTGGTAAAAAGGTGTCTCTGTTTACACAAAGCCAGGAAAAACAGTCCCTCTGGAGAAATCTTGGATTTCCTTTTGCATCAATTGAACAGGCACAGCTGCCAGCTGGTGCCATTAAACTCTCCATCCCCAAAATCTCTGATTACCCTCAGCTGTGGGGTTTTTGCTGTCACATTGCTAGCAGGGACCTCTGGCCAGCTGCACTGCCCAGGAGAGATGCCATGGGAATCTCACCTTGGGACTGATGGGAATCTCACCCTTGGAAGCAAGGCAGGAATAGGTTAACTCAGAGCACCACCTCAAAGTGTTGCAGGGGGAAAACTGCAACATTCCACTGCCTCCATGGCAGGGTGGGTAGGTTTTAGGGGAGGTGACCACACAGCCTGCACATCCTGGTGCAGATGAGAATCCCTGCTCAGGGGTTTTCCAGCTACTCCAGGGGCTGGAGCCAGCAAGAACATCTGTGGGAGCGGCTGGGGGTCAGGACGGCCGGGACAGACAGAGACAAGAGCTCTCTGCAGGCAGGCCTTGGGATTTGGGGTTTATTCCAGAGGGTGTGGGTGCAATGCCCTGCTGGGAGCTGCCAGCCGCAGCTCTGAGCAGCCCCAGAGAGAGAGAGAAGGAGAGAGAGAGGAAGAGTAAAAAGAATGAATGCAAGAGCGTGGTAAAGAGAGAATAAATGAATGGTTCCCATTGCAATACAATAAATCTTCTTCTGTGTTGAATATTCTAATTCTTGCTAACCAATCTGATACAAGGTACAAATACTATAGCATTTACATACAGCCTGTAAGAATCATTACATTACCATACTGTGTTACATTTTAAACCCTAAAAACTGCTCTTTGGACCCCTTCTGCCCAGCTAGTAGGGTCTGCTCTGACCCTTGGGCCTGTCTGCAAGCAGAGGGGATTGTTTCATCAAAAGGGGATTACCTTCAGCCGGCCATGCCATTGTTCTCCAGTTGTTCAGTAACTAAGGTATCTCAAAGCTTGCTTTCATTTCAATCTTGCTTATAGTTTCCATATTCTCAAAATCTTTTGCCAGGCAATCATATTTATAAAGCTTTCCTGTTTCATCTTCCCCAACAAACATCCGCGATGGTGTTCCTGTTATCCCTTCACCCCCCGCTCCTGGCATTGTCCTGCCCAAAAAACACAGGCACCTATGGGCCCTATGCCTCCGTCACAGCCGTCACTTCAGCCTCCTCCCAGGGAGAAGTGTCCTGCAAAGAGGAACTCAGGAGCAAAACCAGGGGAAGTGAATCTGTCTATATGGAAAGAGTCACCGTTTCACAGCAAAAACTTCCTTAACTGTTTGTTCCCCAAAAGTTGCAGTACCTGCCCTGTGCTGCTGAATGCGAAGCCCAGCTGGGCAGAGCTGGATCAGTGCCCCCAGCACCTGCGGCTCAGCATTCCCGAGCAGGAGGTGCTGTCCCCGGCTGGTGACACTGCAGACCCTGGGGAAGGACGGGAGTGGGGCGGAGGAGGCTGCGGAGTCGCCAGTGGGGCAGAGGGAGGGACAGACACCTTCCTGCTCCCCACCCCCTGCTCTCGGTTTCCACTCTGTCGTTTCTCACATGCCTCAGCTCTCACTTCTCCTTTCCCTTTTGTCAATTCCCTCAGCCAGCTCATCTTCCCAGCTCCGGTCCCGGCACTCCCACTGGTGAGGGCCCAGCACCGGCTCGGCCATGGGCTGGGGGCTCTGGGGGGCCCCGCTCACCTGGGCACTGCTGGCCTGGCTGACAGGGGCTGAGCAGCCCCAGGAACTCTCGTCCTCTTCAGGATTTGGGGTGTGCAGCAAGACCTTGAAGCTCTCACGTCTGGAAGTTCTGCCGGGGGGGGGCTGGGATAACCTCAGGAATTTGGATATGGGCAGAGTCATCAACCTGGGCTACTCACAGTGCAAGACCACAGAAGATGGATCTTACCTCATCCCAGACGAGGTCTTCACCATCCCCCGTAAGCAGAGCAACCTGGACATCAACTCCGAGATCATCGAGTCCTGGAAGGATTACCAGAGCATCACCTCTGCCTCCATCAACCTGGAGCTGTCCCTCTTCTCCTCCATCAACGGCAAATTCTCCAGCGACTTCCACCGCACCAAGACGCACCAGGTGAGGGACAAGGCTGTCACCACCCGGGTGCAGGTCAGGAACCTGGTTTACACTGCCAAGATCGACCCCGAGGCGGCCCTGGACAAGGCCTTCAAGAAGCAGCTGCTGACCATCGCCAGCCACCTGGAGAACAACCAGACCCAGATGGCCGATTTCCTGGCCGAGGTGCTGGTGCTCAACTACGGCACCCACGCCATCACCTCCGTGGATGCAGGAGCCACCTTGGTGCAGGAGGACCAGATCAAAGCTACCTTCCTGAAGGACAGCTGGGCCACACGGTACACTGTCACCGCCTCGGCCGGCGTGGCCTTCCACAGCATCGTCAGTGTGGGAACCAAGGAGTCCCTGGACGTCAGCTCGGGCTTCACCAAGCAGTACCTGGACAACCGCACCAGCTCCAGGGTGGAGAGCATCGGTGGGACCCCCTTTTACCCAGGCATCACCCTGAAGACGTGGCAGGAGAAGATTCAAAACCAGCTGGTGGCCCTGGACCGCTCGGGGCTGCCCCTGTACTACTTCATCAAGCCGAGCGCGCTGCCGGAGCTGCCGGTGCCCACGGTGCGCAGGGTGGCCCAGCGGGTGGAGCTCGCCATCCGCCGCTACTACACCTTCAACACCGCCCTGGGCTGCACCGACGCCTCCTCACCCAACTTCAACTTCCACGCCAACACTGACGACGGCTCCTGCGAGGGCACCATGGCCAACTTCACCTTCGGGGGAGTCTTCCAGGAGTGCGCGGGCCTGGGCGGTCCCGACACCGACGCGCTGTGCCGGGCGCTGGAGCAGAGGAACCCCCTCACCGGGGCCTTCTCCTGCCCCGCCGCCTACACCCCGGTGCTGCTGGGTGTGCAGGAGCGGGAGGAGGGTCACAGCCACCTGGAGTGCCACAACAAGTGCACCCTGGGCATCTTCTGCCACCGCAAGTGCCAGGACGTCTTCTGGCTCTCCCGGGTGCAGTTCAGCGCCTACTGGTGTGCCGCGAGCGGGCCGGTGGCACCCAACTCGGGATACCTCTTTGGGGGGCTGTTCAGCACCCACGGCGCCAACCCCATCACCGGAGCCCAGTCCTGTCCCTCGGGCTACTTCCCACTGAAGCTCTTCGGCGAGCTCAGAGTGTGCGTGAGCCAGGATTACGAGGCGGGGGCCGAGTACGCGGTGCCCTTTGGGGGCTTCTTCAGCTGCCAGGCAGGGAACCCCCTGGCTGGGCAGCACCGGGGCACGGCCGAGGACCCCCACGCCAAGGGCTGTCCCCCGGGCTTCAGCCAGCACCTGGCACTCATCAGCGACAGCTGCCAGGTGCAGTTCTGCGTCCAGGCCGGGCTCCTCACCGGGGGCTCGCTGCCGCCCGCCCGCCTGCCCCCCTTCACCCGGCCCCCCGCCAACCTGCCGGCCGTGGACACGCTGCTGGTGCGGGACAGGGACAGCACCTGGGTGAGGGACGGCCAGAGCCACGTGTGGCGGCTGGCACGGCCGGAGGAGGTGCGGCACGTGGCCGAAATGGTCGGGGGCCGGGGGCTGTCAGGGGGAGAGGTGGCTGGGGTCACCGTGGCCGTGCTGGCCGGGCTGGCCACCGGCCTGGGGACAGCCTGGTACGGCCACCGGCGCTACAGGGCCAGGGGGTACCGTAAGCTGGGCACAGGGGACAGCCCGGCCCCCGCCAGCCCCGAGCACAGCACGGTGCTGAGCGTGGGCGAGGGGTACCAGCAGGAGCTGGAGGGGACGGTGCCATGAGTGCCCCCTCCCCTTGTGCCCCAAATCCCCAAACCCACGGGAAAAGGAGGGAGCGGAGGGGCCCCGGGGAGGGCTATCTCCCAAATCCTGCATGCTGCAAGCTGCAACCCCTATCTCCATGTATATCTATCGGGATAGATATACACACGCATGCAGAGAGGCACGGAGCAGTTTTATTTCAGCCAGCAACTCATCGTGTAGTCAACAGAGCATTAAAAAAAGGAAAAAAAAAAAGTCACGTTGTGGAAAGACTTACTCACAGTAAGAGCCATCGGGCTGGCACCGCGGAGGTGGGGGACCCTCCCCGCTCTCGCCCAGAGGGTTTTGCATAGCTCCAGACAGGCTTTGTCTGCACTGGGGAAAACCCAGGGCGTGCAGTGGAGGAGAAATCACACCGCTGAGAGCCACCCAAACAGGGGCGTGTGCCTGGGGAAAGCGGGTTTCTCCCTTGAGGTAGAAGATAACAACCCACGCTGAGGGCGGCTGGGCACAGATCGCTGCAAAGGGACATCAGGGGGACTCGGGGTGCCTGGCCCTGCCCACAGGGCCCCTGGCTCGCCTGGCCACACAGATGACTGACAGAAGACAACGGAGAGGCCAGGCCGTGCTGGGACCGCCAGAGTCCCCTGCCATCCGCTTTATTGACCCCCAGCCCCTCCACGGGGTGGCCGCGGGGGGACGGACCCACCAGGCCACGGGGAGGAAAAACAGCAACGACAACAGAACGATGCACAGCAGGATGGACCCCCCTCCCACCAGCACAGAGGGCCAGGGAACCCCCAGCACCCGGCACAGGGGGCTCCGAGAGGCCCCATGAACCCCTGGTTTGGGATGGAAGAGACCCCACAGACTCTCTCATTCCTAACCCCTGCCCTGGGCAGGGACACCTTCCACCTGGGCTCTCCAAGGCCCAGTCACCCCAGGGGGCTGACAGGGACCCCCAGAGCCTTGGAACACACTTCCCCCACCCCAACACCCACACTCTCCTACCCACACCACCCTCCTGGCCCAGCCTGTACCAACCCCTCACCAACCACTTTCCCCTGCAGAACTCCCCAAGGCTTCTCTGGGGCAGGAATGGGGACACTTCTTACCCCACCTGCACCTGGCCCCATGGGGACCCACAAGTGACAGCCCTCCCACGGGGCAGAGCCCTGTCGGGGTGGGGGGCCCCACAGCCCCCGTCCCAACCCCAAGCACCACTGTGCCCAGCCCCAGCTCAGCTGCAGCACCACGTTCTCCCAGACAGCCTCCCCAGACGCCCCCCTATATGTACATATATACGACAAAACCCCAAAACACGAGGTATATAGAAATTCCAACGTGGGGACGCCCCCATACGAACAGTTCAAGGAACCCACTGCGGGGGGGGATGTCACTGTCCCCCCACACACACCTCCTACCACCCACCAGCCCCTCCCTGGCATGCAGAGGCAGGGGCAGCCCAGACAGGGGACCCTGCAGGGCACAGCTCAGACACAGCCAAGAGGAGCAGGGGGCAGGGCTGGGGGGAGCTGGGGCAGCCCAGGCCCCCCAACCTGCACAGACACAGGAGACCAGTGGGGAGGGACCGGACAGAACGAACGAACAAACAAACGTCAGAGGGACGAGGCAGAGCAAGGGGGACTCGTGTGGCCCCAGCTCCCACCCCAAGCCAGGTCCCAGCCCCAGGTGGGTGACAGGGGTGTTGGGTCAGGCTGGGACTGGCACAGATGAGGAGAGAGGGGAGCCTGGCACCCCCCAAGCCCTCAGCACAGTGACAGATAGGACAGAACACCATCCAGAGGGGTGGCCAAGCCAGCCTGAAGCCCCACAGCTGTGTGTGAGGATGTTCCCGCCCTGCAGGAGTGAAGGGGACGGCCGAAAGGACCTTCTCCCACATTCCCAGCCAGCCTGGGGCACTGCATGGCTGCCACTGGCAGCAGGGGGCTCCAGGTGTGCCCTGGAAAGCCCCCAGGCAGGTATCTCCAGCAGCTTTATCCTGGTGGGTGCCGGCACAGGCAACCCTTTCCTTGCCTCCTCGCCACGGTCTCAGTCCTTCTCCTGTGCCAGGCTCTCCTCGGTGATGCCCTGGGCTGCCAGCTCAGCCAGGACATTGTCCAGGTAGTTGATGTCGGGGTAGCCGTGGCCAGTGAGGTTGGAGCCGAACTCTGTCTTGTGGTGGATCTCGTTCCAGATCACCGTGTCCGACTCGCCCGTGGTGCTGGAGGTCCCGATGGCGAAGATCAGGCGCCGGTCCCAGGCCACCAGCAGCAACTTCAGTACCTGTGGAGACCAGGAATGGGGCAGGCAGCAAAGCAAGCACAGCAACGTGGGCAGCCCACAGGCAAGGCCTCCTGGAACATCCCAGCACAGCCTCCTGCCCCAGCAAGAACAGAGGGACCGGGCTGCTGAGCCTGCAGGGGAAGGTCACAGGGCTCCTGCAGAGCCTGCTGGATGGGCTGTGGGCAAAACCTCCACCCACATTCCCCTGTCTAAGCCATGTTTGCTTTTCCCACCCCGGCACGCCTCGGCCAGCTCACCTTCCTGCCCTTCTCGCTGTCTGGCAGGTAGCAGTGCCGGGGGAAGCCACGGGCCGTGAAGCTCTTCCCAGGGTTTGGATGCTCTGGTCCCTGCGATGTAGAGGGGAAAAGAAAACCCTTCTGGAGCTCAAAAGCAATCTCTGGGCACAGGGCAACTCCCCAAGCCTTGGTGGGCACTAATGGCCACCATCTCCCTGGCACCAAGCAGACAGGGACAGCACTTTCATGCAGATACACCCCAGACCTCCCACAACATCCTTATGGACAAGCAGCTCCTGAGCTGAGGCATGAGCTGCAGCGGGACCTGGGGGTGACACAGCTGTGACAAGGGCTGCCAGCCCCCCCAGATGGCCTCCCCAGACCCACCTGCACCCCCGGGGGGATGTTGTAGATGATGCGGATGGTTTTGCAGTCGGCGTGGCCGGGCAGCGCGTGGGGGATGATGTGATATTCCATCTTCCCGGGAGGCTGCGTCCCTGTCTTCACCCCATAGATGGTTTTGCAGGTGGGACACTGCAGACTTCCATCCTGAGAGTGGAAAAAGGGGGACACGATGAAACCAGTATCTCCAGCACCGAGCCACATGAGACACTGAGCACCTGAGCAGCACTGAACGTTGTTTTAATCGGGAAAAACATAATTTCAAAATCTCTCAGGAACCTGGGATAGGGCCCGGAGAATTCACTACCCAACTTCAACCAAAAACCTGAGGTCTGCATTTCTCTTCCCCACCAGTTTTCCTGTCCTCATTGCTTTCTCTAGCTCTGAATTGGGTGGTTTGGTTTGGTTTGTTTTTTCAAAGAGGGAAATACAATAAATATTGAAAATCTCCAAACAATGCATTTTCCAGGGAATGTCAAGCACGAGGGGTATTTGCAAAAACCCTCCCGTGGCTGGAGAAGCACTGCCTGGCACCAAATTCCAGGTAGCTCTGCTCAAACATGCAGGGATCAAAGTCCACCCTGGCAAGAAAAACAAGCACAAAAATCTGGGCATAGTGGGGGGGAAACACACCCACACAACCCTGAGTTCTGATTTAGCAGTCCTCAAGTGCTTGCTGCTGATCAAAATTAAACTCTTGAGTCAGGGTGGGAGCTCAGAGTCCTCCGGGGCAGCCAGGCTGGGGCTCTGTCCCATGGAGAGCTCATGGAGCTCCACAGAGGTGGCTGAGCAGGGGGTCCCCGGGGCCGCAGGCTCTCACCTTGTTACCGTTGTTGTACATGGCCACCAGGCAGTGCAGGTGGAAGACGTGGCTGCACTTGACCAGCTTCCCCACGAGGTCAGGCTTGACGGCTGGCTGGGGCCCCTTGTAGCCAGAGGGGGCAGAGAGCCGCTCCATGCAGATGGTGCAGTCCTGTGCCAGAGGGGAGGACAGGGATCAGAGGGATGGGCGCTGATGGGCTGCCCTGCTCTCACCCAGGGACCCGCACCCAGCCCCAGGCTGGGCTGTCACCCTGCAGGGGCCGTGCACGCAGCACACAGCCCCTCTCTGGGGACACGGCAGAGCCATACAGGGCAGGGGGACATCCCTGCACGTGGCATCACGCGTGTCCCCAGCCCCTCATCCCAGGGCAAAGCCCCCCAGGACACCCCGGCACAGCCCTGCTGCTCGCACCTCATCCGGCGGATGCCGCACCTTCTGCAGGTATTTCTTCAGCACCTCCTCTGGGGTTTTACCTGCGGGAGAGTGAGGGTCAAAGGATGGGAGAAACCCAGTGCCAGGGGCAGCAGAAGGGATGGCAGCACAGGGGATCCAGGAAGGGCAGGAGGGACAGTCTCTCTTACCCTTCTTGGCCTGTTTCTTGGTGGTCTTGCGGCAGGAGTGGGAGATGCCAGGGATGGACTGGATCTCACTCTTGCTGACGGGCGGGGGGTGCAGCACCAGCTTGGGGGGCCGGGTCAGGCACACAGGCAGCCCGGCTGCACTCATGAGGATCCCCGTGATCCCTGCACAAGGAGGGAACAAATGGGCACTGAGGAAAACCAGCAACACCCTGAAAGCCAGATGCTCCCCAAAACCTGCCCCACTGGGGCTGTTTGTGCCCCCACCCTGGGGGAACCAGCACCCGCTGTGGCCCCATCCTCACCTGCCAGTGCTGGGTTGACGGGGCTGGAGCCAGTGAGGTTCTTCACAGGGACAGTGGGGACCCTGAGGGAAGCCAGCACAGACCACATCAGGGCAGGCAGGAGGCACCCACGTCCCCACAGGGCCCAGGGGCCACACAACAGTTGCCTGAGCAACTGCACAGGCCCTGGATGGAAAAAGAGAATCCCCCCGACGGGGCAACCTGCCCCTCCCTGCCCCACCACCGCCTTTTCTCTGGCGCTTTAGAAACCCTGACTGCATCTCCATTCATGGCCCCTTTTTGTCACAGCTCCCTGGGCCAGTCTGTTGTTTCTTTTCCTCTTTTCTCCTATAGCCACGTCACTACCACAGCTCTTTTCCCCCTCCCCTTGGGGCTCTCTTCCATGGGAAAGTTTCCCGGCAGGTCAGGAACGGAGGGAAGGGGGAGGATGGAGAGAGAGAGGAAAGGGGCCAGGCTGTGACAGAAGGCTGACGGCAGAGCCAGACAAAGGGGAGAAACAGGCCCATTAAGTGTCCACCCCATCACAAAAAAATGGCTTTGGAGGGTGGGGGTCTGGAGGCACCCCTTCTCATGGGGCCTGAATGGCTTTTCTTTGCGCCTTTCGCAGTCCCCCACCCAACCCCTGACTCCAAGAGAAAGAGCAGCCTCAGCCTCTTCATTGAGATGCAGGAGCCACCCCATCCCTGCTCCGGTCTCCAGGCACCTGTGGGGAAGGCGAGGGGCCCAGCAGAACCCACTACCCTCCACAGGAGGCTGGGGACCACCGAGGGTCTCCCACCAGGCTCAGACAGACCCCTGCAGTGCCCTGGAGCGAGTCTGTGCAGTCCCTTTCTCCGGGTGCGGGACTCACCCGGAGGCGATGAGCACGCGGGACTGGGCGATGGCCAGGCGCTGCAGGTGGCTGCGGTTCAGGGTGCCCAGGCTGGCCCGGGAGCCTTTGCCGCTGCCCACGCCGGGGGGGCTGCCGGAGGCGCCGGCCGAGCTCAGGGCGGGCGTGCTGGGCGGCTTTGCGGGGCTGCAGCGTGGAGGTGCCGGGGCCGGCGGCGGCCGCTTTGACGCTCATGACCAGCAGGCACTGGGGACACGTGCAGGCGGGCACCGGCGGGGCCGCCGCCGCCCCGGGGCTGGCCGGCCACGACTGCGACTTGGGCAGGGTGCCCGACACCAGCGGGTACACCATGTCGAGGCGGCGGCGGACGCGGCGCTTGCGCTGGGTCTGCCGGTTGATCTGGCCCATGGTGGCGAAGTCGATGACGTAGCAGAAGCCGATGGCGCTCAGGTCCACCCAGGGGTGCTGCTTCTCGTAGGCGCGCTGGATGGTGATGCCCACGTCCATGTCGTAGGGCGTCCACGTCCCGCTGTCATTCTCCCACTCCCAGACGACTCCCTTGCCTGGCGCCGAGGACGGGTCGTAGTAGCTGCGCCGGACGGGCCGGATGGTGCCTGAGGGAGGGCGACAGATGCTGTCAGACCCTGGCGCCAGCACCCACCCGTGGGCAGGCAGCAAAACCACCCCGACCTGCCCTGCCGGTGCCATTCCACGCGGGGACAGCACGGCTTTCCGGCTCTGCTGCTGTCCCCACCCTGCCAGGGGACCGGTGTGCCTCAGTTTCCCCAGAGGGCAGGGAGCCCCACAGCCTGGGGGTGCATCCCCAGTGCAAGTGGGCTGAAGGGAAGGGCACATTTCACTCCCACTGGCCCACAGGCCAAGCATGGAGCCAACTCAGCCCTGATGGGGAAACACAGAACCACAAGCTTGGCTGCTCCAGCCTGCTCCCAGGGACCTCCCGCGGGAGCCTGATGAAACCAGGCATTAGGGCACCCCAGCCCTGCAGTGCCTGTCTCCCTCCCAGCTCTGGGCTGGAACAGGTGAGTAAGAGATTAGAGGGGCAGCTCCGAGCCCCAGGCAGTGACACACACAGGTCCTCACGCACGTAAGGGAGTGAGGCTTGTGCCAGCCCCACCATCTGCAGCTGCCAAACCGGCCCCGATGAAAACCCCAACTGTGACAACTGATTTTCCTCACAGGGAAAATCCCTGTGAGGCCAAGCTAAGGAGTTTGAGCAGGGAACTGTGCCCAGCTCCCGCTGCCCCATCAGCAAACATGAAGAGTGGGATGAGAGCGCAAAGCACCAAGGCTTTGTGCCTTGCATCCTTATTTTGGCTAGGCGTTTCCTTTCCCACCACTCCCAATCAACTAGGATGCATTCGAAGAATGGACACAAATTTTGGGAACTTCTATAATGAGGAAATGAGGAGAAAGGCTTCCTCTTTGGGATGTCTCACAGCAGGGCAGGGCTGGGTGTGCACGGTACTGGGGTCCCATCCTGAGCGTGTCACTAATGCCCAGAGGTGTCTGGTAACAGGTGGGACAAGCACCACTGCCTCCAGGTCCTTCTCCAGATCCCCATGGCTCAGCCCAGCGTGAGGAACAAGAAAGCACTCAAACAGAAGCAATAACAAGTCTGCTGCTTCGGCTTTTCACCACGTGTCCTGCAAAGCCTCCAAGAATTTCAGTCCCTTCTCACCCCCACCTCTCCGCGGAGAACAGCCGCCACCGCAGGTCCCGCAGGGACACGAGTGGGATAAGAAGGGAAAGGTGTTTACCAGCATCCTGCTAAAGGGGCATGGGGTGCAGCTACACCCCAGCCAAGCCACCCGCCCTGTCCTGCCAAGGGGCACCCGGGGCAGAAAAGCCGAGGGGAGCGGGGCAGTGATTTATCCTAATCTGGCGGCGGCATGCGGCATCTGGCGGTCCCCAGGCAGCAGTGTGGGAATGTTGTGTGTTCCCCCAGCCCCTCGCCGCCAGCCGGCCTCCCATTCAACAGGGGAAGAAAGGGAACAATAGCTATTCAGGGCCTGCCAGGGTCGCGACCCCCCCAAATCAGAGCTGTTTAATGACCCAAAATACCAACATCCCCAGCAACCCAGGGAGAGACAGAACAATCTCCCTTTCAGTCCTCCACCCTGGGCAACAATAGCCCTCAGAAGCTGGCCCCCAGCCACCCTGCTCGCAAGAGGTCCCTTGTCCCCACACCCACGGGCAGGGGAGGGTCGCCGCCAGCCCCCAAGGCTGCTAGGGAAAGAGGGACAAAGGAGGGTGTCTGGCACTGCTGCACCCCAGGGACAAAGCACACTGGCCATCACGGGGGTGTTGGGGGTCACAACCCCCCATTCTAATGCCCTGCCAAGGGTGCCTGTGCCCCACATCCCAGACAACCCCAGGAGGTGGGGGACAGACAGCCCCATCACGCCGGGGACCCACCCACCTGCCCGTGCCCTCCCTGAGCATCCCTCCACCTGTGTCCCTGCCCTGGGGCTGCCATCCCCCCGGGCAGGATCTGTCACCCAAGTACCATTCAGCTCTACGTCGATGGCGGCTCCGATCTAGCATAGAGAGCGGGGCACGGCCCTGGGAAGGGTGTGCGAGAGACCACCTCTCCTGAAGGGAGAAGGATGGGATGGGTGGGTGCAACAGGGCCCGGGGCGCTGCAGCAGCGAGGCGGGCGGGCAGCACGACCCCGGGGGGGCAGGGGTGCGTGGGCAGGACTGGGCAGCGAGGGCAGGGCGAGGACCTGGGCATCAGGTGGAGGACAGCGAGCTGGCATCGCGGCCGGGCGGTGCGGGATCGGGCACGGCGGGGCCGCTCGGCGCAGCCCCGCACGGCCGCGGAGCGGGGGACACCGGGACCCCCCTCCCTCCCGCCCGCCCGGCCGTGCCGTGCCGCCGCGGGCGGGAGCGCCGAGCACGGCCGGGCCGCGGGGCCGACTCACCGGTGTCCTGGCGGAACTGGTGCATGGACTGCAGGTCGATGATGTAGGGCGCCAGGCGGCTGTCGGCCTGGCCCAGCACCACGCTGCCGCCCGCCCGCGGCCCGGCGCGGGCCACCGCCTCGATGTGGTGGCTGACGGCCGGGCTGTAGGGCCGCCAGCGCCCGTGCTCGTTCAGCCATTCCCACACCACCACGGCCGAGGCCAGCAGCATGGCTCCGCCGCCCCGGCCGCGGCCCCGGCTGGCTGCGCCGCTGCCGCCCGCCCCGGCGGCTCTCGCATGCTCGGCGCGGCGCAGGGCTCTGCCCGCCCCCGCCCGGGG